CTAAATTTCATTCTCTTTATCGCTGTCTATTAATCTCCACCCCTCCCCTTCTCCTAACCGTCTCTCTTCTTTAGAACTCTCAAACCCTACCCTCTCTAAGCCTCATCTATTAGGTAAGTATGAGGTTCAAATGATTTTCTGTTTACGTAATATTAGATACAAAATCCATCTTACCCTTAAAAAAATAGTCTACTTAACAAAAATTTAACGCTTCGTGCACTAGAACTTAAACCAAGAATTTTTTTTTCTCCAACGTCATACTTCTAGATGTCCTTGACCTTAGATCTACCTGCTATCTAAGTAGACAATCCAGATCGTGAATAGCTATAAAAACAGCTTTAGTAATAATCTGATAAGTTAGTATGATCAGATTAGTATGGTGCGTCATTCGATTTTTTAAATAAGCAACTATAATAGCGAGGCTCGTTCATTTTTAAAAATGTCGGATTAGTCGTCTAATTTTATGTTATAGTTATAGGTTTAATCTAGGTTGGAAATAACTTTAGATGCTAGCTCTCAACCTGAACCTGTAATCCAACCATCCAGTAGCGTGGCGGGGGGGGGGGGGGACATATGTCCCCGGGTGCCGACCATAGGGGGCACCAAAATGGGTTGGAAAAATAAATTGAAAGGTTGAGGGGGGTGCAAATCGAAAATTTGAGTGGGGGTGCAAATGGAAATCTCAAGGGGGGGGGGGGGGTGCAAATCAAAATCTTGAGGGGGGGGGGTGCAAATCGAAAAATTTGTCCCCGGGCGCCGGGAAGGGTCGCTACGCCTCTGCAACAATCTGCTTAGTAAAACTGAGCCAATAACACCCTTTTTAATTTAATAATAGACTGATTTAAACATTTCGGTTATTTGGTCCTACATTCGAGTTGTTTACAAGAGGATAGCACGTGCTCATAGGTCAAAGTTCAGGTTTAAGTTTTGTTTTTTTTAATTTGTGCCTGGTTTATAAAACCGTATCTGTAATTTTGCTTTTGAACAGTTTTTTTTTATTTTATTTTAATTTTAAAAGTGTGGTTATGACAATGAACGATATCAGCCAGACAACGCGATACTGACATGAGAAACAAAACCAACTAATTTGTATTTGGACCTAATTAAAACGTTTAAGGTCAATTTTTAAAATAAATTGTAAATGCGTTTGCTTAAAAAGTAATGTTTAATTTTAGGTTATAACAGTTAGCTTATTTTAATTCGAACGAGTATTTTTTTGGGAGTTCATTATATTCTAGTCTACAACGTCGGCACATTGATTAGACCGACATTTTTTTTCTATCAACGTTACAAGACTAACCCCCTTTCTCCACCTGCCCCGCCTCCCCCTTTCCCTCAGTGTACTTAAACGCTTGCCTGTCGTGTCTTAGTACTGCCTTACACCGAGGCTCTAATTAATTATAACTGAAGCTAATTAGAAATTCTGCTATACGGTCATACTTAAAAACTACAGGTCTAGTGGATGTTGGTTTGTATATAGTGTAGCAGAAGGCTACATAAACACATTAAATAATACTTTTTGAGTTACGTAGTTGTTGTGGGTGATCTGGGTTCAAATATTGGAGACACCAGTCAGCTCACCAAAATAGATAACTAACACTAGGTCGATAATGATCTTAGAATAACAAGCTCCGCCTCGTCCCCGTCACCCCCCCCCCCCCCCCCCAAGAGATGCCTGGAAGAAACTCTGTTCTTATGTCTTTTTTTTCAATTTCTCTACGTCGTGTAAATTTTTTTTCTCCCTCTTTTCTTGATAGTTGTGGATTCGATGATGTACGATGGCTGGCAATACTTACGTATGACATAACCATCTCCACCTCCCCCCCCCCAAATTTCTTGCTGCACTGGAATTTGTCCTATCCTTTCCCACACTGCATTGTTATACACTTTGTCTAACTACTTTCGCTGTTTATTCCATGTTTCCGAGTATTTGTTTTTCTATATTCGCGAGTATTGTTCTAAATTGCCGAGTCCAATAAAAAAAAATTTGTTTTTCTCTATTACTCCTATTTATTTATCCAACTTTGACTTCATATTTTTTAAAACCCCTGGCCACCAGCAGACGTAAACAATGTGTTTGTCTGCCGTGACATTGGCTCAATCTAATGGCAGGAGACAGGCCTGTATCTGCCTGTAAGAGGACACGGATCATGTAGGTTAACTGGATTATTGACGTAGTCTGAGCTGTGGGGGGTGGGGAGGGGGGGGGGGGGTGTTTGAACAGGTCCTCTGGTGACAGACTTTAGACAGACAATAGGTCACGTAAAACAAACTTGGAAGTTTCTTCCTTCTTTTCTGGTGAGGTTTTTTTTTTAAGCCTATCATCACTGCTAATGTTTGTGTAGCCTACTCCTTCTAGTGTATGTGTGGTGGTGGTGGTGGTGGTGTGTGTTCCTAGCGAGCGTCCGCTGGTGTAGAGAATGAATGTGTGAGTGAAATATGATTCGGTGAACATATTTCGAGGCCCTACTTAACCTCAACAGAAAGTGGGTCAAAGATCATAAGTTCAAAAGGTTAAACTTTAAACCTACGTATCTTATTTTTACTGTTAACGGCGGGGGTCGCTGTTTTTTTTTTTTTAAATAACTTTTCAGAGCACTTTTTTAATTTGATAAGGGGAGTATTCATAATTTGAAAACTAAATTCACTTAAAGTCACGTCATTGTATTTAGGTTTTAATTTGAAGCAGTAAAGTAAGAATGGGGGTCAACCTAATGCAGAAACATCGTTTACATTTACTTCCCCTTATTTCTCAACTTTCAAAGTATGGTCTGTTCAAATTCTTTCGTGAACATATTAAAGTAAGTTTCAATTCCGAATGGAAATGGCCCCTGGTCAGTAGCGTAGCGGGGGGACATATGTCCCCGGGCGCCGACTTTAGGGGGCGCCAAAATGGGTTGGATAAATAAATTGAAAGGTTTAGGGGGTGCAAATTGAAAGTTTAAGGGGGGGGGGGGGGTGCAAATAAAAATCTTGAGGGTGGGGGGTGCAAATCGAAAGTTTGGGGGGGGGGGGTGCAAATCGAAATCTTGAGGGGGGGTGCAAATCGAAAAGTTTGTCCCCGGGCGCCGGGAAGGGTCGCTACGCCTCTGCCCCTGGTGCACGTGAAGTAGAGTTCACCTGTAGCTGTCACCTCGGCATATGAAGGGATAGTGCGGTCAGCACTATACCCAGCCGCCTTTACTATCCCTAACGTGATAGAGATGGGTGGGTGGACACAGACGTTCTACAGTCTTTAACCAGGATTCGAACTCGAGACTTTTGGGTTAGCAGATTAGCGCTTAACTTCTAGGCCACTCCTTTCCACTTTGTTAACATACATAGCCCACACAAAAATTTTATCGCATAGAATAGCTTTACAAAATAGCACCGTACCAAGATTGCCCCCCCCCCCCCCTTTTCCACCACCAAAACCTGTTTAACCATTGTGTTGATTGGTCAGATCTAGATGAAATTAATGTACTGTAACGAGGGGAGACTTTTACAGAAATACGTGACCTGCAATGGGTAAGAAGACCAAAGTACGAAAGAAAATAAAACTCGATACTTGACAAGAAATTATAAAACTGATTTCTTTGTTACGATTATTTTTTTTATATCGATATTTCTTATTAAAGAAATGCGATGTGATAAACATCTAAATATCACGAATATGAGGGCTTATCAAGTTAGACTAGATTTCGTTTATCCAGTTTTTTTTTTTTTTTTTTTTTTTTTTTTTTTTTTTTTTTTTTGCAGAGGACTATCACGGTTTTGAACTTTTTACTCTTTTAAGATTTATTTGCCAAAATAATAAAATCAGATAAAAAGTGTAGTCAGACATCTATAGTCATTCCATCTATACTACGCCCTCTTACATAGGTATAGATCTACTATGGATTCTAGATTAGATCAATATCAAGATTGTAGATCGTTGTAGGGCCGAGGCCTAAGTTAAAAAAGCAACTGAGCCCGTGCTTTTCGATGGCCCCTAGCCATCTCGCCAATCAGCGCCTACTATGGGATAATTTATGCGTATGACCCTCCAGGACTGGCGGTAACTTGTGTTGATGTGTAGGCCTACCGGAACTTGTTTTTTTTTCTCACTGCCCTGTGTAGCCTATGTTGACTTGACAACATAGCTTTCGCCCAGGGCGGAGTAGTTGTCACTTCTTCACGACACACAAGGTCACTCCTGAATTCCATTTGAAATTTTATTTTTTTAAGCTGCACATTACATAAACAAGGCGTTTTGCTGTGTACTGTCTAGGGCTAGGATTATTCCTAGTCAAGTCATTTATCCGAGAAATAAAGAACTCTGCCCTACTTACCTGTTGTTGAACAACGCACTGTCCCCATTTGTTGTCTTAACTAATTTTTTTAGATCTAGATATCTAGATCTAGAATAGAATATTCTAGATCTAGCTTTTGTTGGTTAGGCTATTAAATTACTATTGTCTGAAGAGAAATATGACATTGGGCCTAAGCATTACATTTTGGGGCTATGGATAATTATTAATTATAAGCCTACTGAGATTGAATCAAGGTTAATAAATGCCAACCATTTTTTTTAAGTTATTGATCAAATTCCACGCACCTGGAGTTACAGAAATAGGGGTTCTGGCTTACGTAACGGGGGGGGGGGGGGGAGGGGAGGAGGATTTATGTAACATGAACTTAATGTTTTTTTTCAGGTGACAAAAATATTATCTTACCATAGAATTGTGGTTGCTAGCTAATGTTAGGAACATTCAGCAACTTGTAAACAATATCTTTAAGGTGGGAGGGAGTGGGGAGTGAATTTTGAGCTATATTTGAGGTTGTATTAAAAGATCTGCTAAAATATTTTACTTATTAAAAAGTAACAGTAAAAAAAACTTGAACTGGAGTCAAAAATAATTTTATATTATCTTGAGGGCAAGTCCCAATGAGATTTTAGGCTGTTTCTATAGTTCTATAGTATTCCATGATGTCATAACTCTTATTCCAAGTTGATAACTGTTATATTGTTTTATTTTTAGCATGCCAAGTTGAAGTCTCGACTGCAGCAGAGGTACTTTGAAGGCACACAAGATGCAGAACATCAGACTGGCCAGAGGGTGCAGCAGGAGACAACTAGCCCCAAGCCAGCAAGCAACATGCAACAGCAGCCAATGAGTTATGGCCCCTCAAATTTGGATATTCTCGCCTCAGCTGTTAACCTTCACACGGAATCTCTCCGACAGGTTGAAGGAGATTCTCGTGCTTTACAGGCTATGCAAGAAGCAAGTCGTCACGTTTATAGGCAAGTTCGCGATGATATTCCACGGCAGCACGATGCTTTTAGGCATCAAACAATGGATATTGGTGGAAGATTACCTCATTCAAGAGAAATTCCAAACATGGTTAGACGTTCTTCTGCATCTCCTATTCCATATTCATACGTCAATACTGCTGGTAGAGCTAGCCATAGCCCGCACTCCCTTTCCGCCTCAACTATGGCGGTATCGTCAGCTAGAGAAAACAGTCTCTATGAACATTCTATTCCAGAGCAAAGGGTTTTGCAATATAGTGCAAACGAACATCAACTTCTTCTTTTCAGGGAATCTGCATCAAGAAGAGATGCAGTAAGAAATGGAACTTCCGAGTTTCATTCATCATATAGCAATGCAACTTTGGATTCTAGGCAACATGCATCCACTGCTTCTTATGGCCAAGCTTTGAATTCTGCTTACCAACACAACCTAAAGTCACAAACACATAGTGAGGCGCATGTTCCTCCTCAACGGCATAGCTCTCGTATTGCTAGTATAATTGCAGAGGAACTTCAGAAAGACGAAGACTGTCGTCACAAAGCTGTGGTCTTAAAACATGGTCCTTTAGTCGAGCGAGTTAATCCTGATGAAATAAAAGTGGTTAAAAATAGCCAGCTCAAGTTGAATGATGGTTCTCAAAATCGTAACCATGGTTCAATTAATAGCTACTGGTCCCCACAGGATTCCTCCTCAAATCAAAGATACATTGTTGATAATATACTTCACGGATATCCTTACGGGCATAGGAATCCTCATGTATTACCAAGCCATCTCTCTGATGTCCACACCACCAACAGTATCTTGACCTCGGTACAAAACATATCTTCAACAGATTTACGAAATGGCATTTATAAAACCCAGTCTGATGGGTTGGATGACAACCAGCCGCAAGATTTGAGCATCAAGCCTAAACTCAGAGCACCTCAATCCCAGCCACACAACCACCAGCCACACAACCACCAGCCACACAACCACCAGCATACCTACTTGACACCAGATTCACCCATAAACGATGCTAAAATGAACGCCTACTTTTCTAGTCCGAACTCGCCCCTTAACATGAACAATGCCTCAGGTCACCAGCAAAATTTAGCTCAACGCAAATCCGCATCACCAACCGTGAACTCCAACAAAGGCTTAGACTATAAATCTCCAAACAACGGCCACTTACGGCTATCAGGGAAATGGGAAAGAAAAGGCCAAGTGCATACCATTGATTCCCACCCTGCTCTCACCAGAGAAAGTAAAGACCTGGCTGAGAGGAGAAGGGCCGAAGCTATTAAAAAATGGTCTGATAACAGACAAGGGGAAATAACAAAGAAAAGAGCAAACTACTCCAATGTGAATTAATTTCAAATAAGACATTTTTAGGTTTATCAATAAATATCAGTATTTAAAAAAAAAATACTAACATACTGAATGTCCATAGTGTATAATTAAATTACTAAAAAAATATAAATGTTGATTCTACATATTTTTTTATACAATTAAATACACAAGTGATATTAAACAATAAGTGTTTAAATTCACAGAACTATAAACAGTGTGAGTGCATTTAATTTTACTTTTTTGAAGAAAGCCAGTTCTCTTGCCTAAATGTACATCCAACAATGAAACAGGTTTAACAGAAGTTGATTGCTATATTTTATAAAAAATAGACAATTTTTTTGTATATCTATTAACACACTGACATTTCTAAATTCTGTGTGGGATATTTATTGCTAAAACATGTTTTAAGAAATATGTAACATGTCTGTGTTGGTCTTGGGAAGTATTTGATTATTATAGTTATTTTCAATAAACTTTTAAGTTATTTTAATTTTAGAAAAACTTTACTATAGTCAAGCAGATATACTATTCAACTAGTTCCTATACGTATCCTAAAAGACCACAAACATTTAGCTTTTAAGCCTTATCTAACAATATAATTACATATTTTTTTTGTAATTAGCAATATAAATATAAATGCTGCTCCTTTATTTTCCAAGGATCTGGTTTATAAATCTAGCTAAAATGTAAATAGTCATGTGTATCAGAGCAGTGATCTGATGTCTTTTAATACTTATTTATTTTAATAATTACTTCTTAAGATTTTCCTGAATGTAAAAACTTGGAAGATCAGAGTACTGTAAAGTAGGGCTTTAAATATTTTTCTTTATTCTTAATGTCCGCTCCTACGCATAATAGACACTGGTGGTTCTATTGGATGCAATAACTTGATAGGCTTTAAATGTTATGTAAATAAAGGCAATATTAATATATTTAGATACTAACTTGTTTAAAGCTTTGTAGTAGTTTCTTTTATCAACACAATTTGACAGAGGTTTATGAGGTAATATTGAGCAGGTTATCATTGTAAACCAGTGATTAGTACTACATTTACATTTCAACCAACTGCACTAGAAGAGAGAATAATAGACTTGAATAGAATACTGTATTATTAATGCTAAGCTTGCTTTTCTTTGACCACACTCACTGTAAGATTATTCACAAAACAACATGCAACCATAAGAGTTATGTTTACAGCCATGAATTTCAAGCTAAAGAAAGTTTGCTGTTCTTGTTAGAAAATTTGGTTGTGAAATCTTAAATTTTTATTTCCACAAGCTGCCCATAACTGGTTGTCTTTAGATCTAAAGAAAAGATTTTGAAACACTTGAGGACTAATTCAGTACAAACAAATTGTTTTGATTGAAGTAAGTGACAGAATGCAGGCTGTAGTCTTTGGTAACACAGGTTTATACTTTGTGAATAATCTGACAATGGAGTAAAGTAGAGTTATATTTACATAAACAAAAATTGAAAAGTTGGCTTTATATAAAAAAAATTAATGTTAACTCTTTGTTTTATTTCATCATTTGACAAAAGATGACTTCAACAGGAACATCTTGTATATTAGTTAGCTTGCACATTTATGTTATGAATGTCGAATAATATTTTTGCGAGGAATCAGAGTATTGTTTTTGTCCGAACTTATTTTTGTAAGTTGTTAGAATGTAATTTTAAGCCGACTCAATTTAAATGTTAAACTTTATATTCCATGAAACAAAATAAAAATAGCAATCAGACTGCTGTTGAAAAAACTGTAATATTTTTTTTTCAGACATTAAAACTGATATTGAATACTTTAACTGACCAACATTACTGTTGTGGAAATTGTAAAATAAATCCCATGAGATAAACCACAGTTATGTCCCTAATGGGTCCTGTTATAGGACCAGACATGTTTATCTTTATTTTCATGAACTCTTATGCTACTTTCAAATTGATTTTAAATACACAATGAATGTCATTTACAAAACTATATCCTTAAATGTTGTAATATGATTCAAATGTTATTAAAGCATTTATTTAATCATAAGTTTTGGTTTTTTCTTTATTAAACCCTTGTTACAATATTTTAGTGAATTGTTTAACTGTCCACAGTTGTGGTAGGTAGGCTACAGGCTGAAAAAAAAAAGACTCCAATTTAAATATGATGCCTCTTGTGTATTAGAAGTTTGTTATCAAAACTAAATGTGTATTAGATTAATTTGAGAAAGCCTATTAAACTTGTTGAGTAGCATTTTTAAAAAAAATAAATAAAAACTCCAAAATTTAAATCACAGTAAAAATTGATTTTATTTATTTAAAAAAAAACCCATCATACTTGATAGGAAAAATGGCATAAACACAGTGGACATATTTAGCTTCCATAAATCTAGTACCAATAAAATTAATAAAAATGAATAGAGGTAAGAAAAGTTGGAGTCTAAAAGTGTGCAAATCCAATTTAGGCCCTACCAGGATTTTAAATTTGACAAGATCTAGTTCTAGTATATTTAGTTTAAGAGTAGACAAAATGATTATGTACGCCCAAAAAAATTGTTTCATAATTAGTTTAAATGAAACACAGTTAAAAAAAAAAAAAACAAATATCTGGCGGTAAAATTTTTATGAAAGCAAAAGGAATGAAAAAAATTGAATTTCAGGTTAATCTTACCATGGCATTAATTAACTACAGTTGCATAAATTATCTACATTTATTTCTTAGTAGGGTTTATCCATAAATAACGTCACGCTTTTTAACGATTTTTACCTCCCTTCCCTACGTCGAACATCGTCGCAAAAAGCCAGACCCTGTTTATTAATTAAAACTGTTTTCTAAACCCACTCACCCCCCCCCCCCCCCCGTCTATGAGTGTGACATCTGCATTCCGTGCAATAAGGGATTGGGGTGGGTAGAGAGCTTTAGGCATCTTCACTAGCATGATACAAGTCATCGGGGGGGGGGGGGGGGGGCAAATCAAATGTTTCATAATTATGCCTATTTACATCTATGACACATTTTACAATTTAATGTCAAAATACAAGTTGTTAAAATAGTAGCGACTAGTTTCGAGTCATTAAAATAATCAGTAATGTAATGTCTAAAAAAAGAAGAGAAACTATCGAGGTAAATCAAGCCATACGCACTCTGAATAAAATGGAGGAATTTGTATTTATGGTAATGTTAAATTTGTGGAGTTGCTTGTACAAAAGACCCCCCCTCCCCCCTTTACATTCACACATATATACGCACATTAGTCTAGATCTGTACTCTACTGTCGGATTTTGTAAACATGTTTTTAGGGATGAGCACGGTCATTTTGAAAAAAAAAATGTCATGATGTTGCTCACAAGCAGTGTTTCTTCCAGACTATTTTCTCCGGGGGGGGGGGGGGGGCACTTGAAATTTTCGGGGGGGGGGGGTAGACTTTCTTCGGGAGGGGGGGGGGGCGGACACTGTTAAAAGTATATATTTTCTATATAAATTATATAAATTTCATTTCGTTCGGGGGGGGGGGGGGGGCGGTAAAAATTTTTCGGGGGGGCTTCGCTTGGAAGAAACTCTGCTCACAAGAAATGCAGATATAGAAGGCATAGCAATGATGAAGATGGTGTTTTAATTAACATTGAGCCAAGAGACCAATTCAGAATCAAGCAGTAGCGTAGCGAGGGGGGGGGGGGGCATATGTCCCCGGGCGCCGACCTTAGGGGGTGCCAAAATGGGTTGGAAAAATAAATTGAAAGGTTGAGGGGGTGCATATCGAAAGTTTGAGGGGGGGGGGGTGCTAATCGAAAGTTTGAGGGGGGGGTTGCTACGCCTCTGGAATCAAGACATTTTACTCGTGATGAATGCATCCGTTCAAGTCTGACACATAGGGCCTCACTATACAATGGCGCTAGTGTATTGATGTTTTATTCTTCACTAAATGAGAAGATGCGGAAGATGAGATTCGTGAAGGATTTCATGCCAAACATATCATTAAAATGTGGTCATACATCTTGTAGGAGAACTCAAGCATTTAATTAACATGCTAGGCATATTATGTAGCCTATGCAGTGGCGTAGCGAGGACGGGTGTCACCCGGTGCGGCACTTAAAGGTGTCACCCCTCCCCCCCCCCCCCCCTTAGAGGCGTAGCGACCCTTCCCGGGGACAAACTTTCAAATTTTCGATTTGCACCCCCCTCCCTCAAATTTTCGATTTGCACCCCCTCCCCTCAAGTTTTTCTCTACATATTTTGCTATTTTCTGCCTTGGGGTCACCCCCCTAAATGGTGTCACCCGATGCGGTCCGCGCCCCACGCCCCCCCCCCCCCCCCCCTCGCTACGCCTGTGAGCCTATGGTTCTGCTGAACTTGAGAATCGGACACATCTTGATCTGTCTAGCCGCTAGCCTAAGGTAATGGTTAAAGATTTTGTCCAATCAGCATTTCCTATGCGGGAGCAGTTTTGAGATTGTTTCTTAGTGTAATGGTTGTACAACAAAAATTTGTTGTTAGCGCAATTTCCATTCTGGAGAATTGCGTTTATTAACTCGTCTTTTCTGGGAATGGATAAATGGATGGATGGATGGATGTGTGTCCGCAGCTTTAAGTCGTATCTCCTCCTCAACGAAGCAATATCGAGGACTAGTTCCAAAAGCAAATATGATAAGCAAGTTACCAGGATGAACATAGGTCAAAAAAATTCCGGGTTTCTTTCATGGATTTCCCGGAAAAGCCAAAAAACCTCGAAAAAAAAATCAGTTTTTGGCCCATATCTCGGCAACCAGACCACTTAGCGACTTGAAACATGTACCAATCGATTTATGCCGTAATTTAGAACAATATTGCCGAAGAAAGTTTTCAAAAATATCCTTTCGTTCGGTCACAAAAAATTTTTTGAATTAATTAAAATTTGGACCAAATTAGTAGGCATTTTATCCAACCACACCACACGCGTCATCACGTTCAATGGCTGCGACATCACGTTCGGTAGCTAGGCCTGCAATGGTTTTTTTTTAGTCATGTTACTCTATTGTAAATAAAACATGTAAAATACTGAAAAAAATTAATAAAAAACGTTGTAATAACTAACCAATGGTTTTACTAACCCTGCTCTTGATTTACGCTACGACAGAGCTATTTTTAGATAACATAAGGAAATTGCGCTAAAATGGTCACTAGACTTTTTTTAATTACTTGTTTCTTAGTATGATGTCGCGAAACGAAATTTTTTGCGAGTGGTCATCGATTAAAAGCGAGTTTCGGAGTTAGTCCACCCTCCCCAATCGTCACAAAAAGCTAACCCCTTCCCCCAAATATGACGTCACGCATAGGCGTGCTCCGACTTAAAATTTAGATTCTTTTTTTAAACAGCGATTTATTTCTAAAATATTTACTGAGCTCGGTCAACATTTAGTTGACCTATACTGATCCATCTTATACCTTAAAAATTTACTCTTGTTTTAAGTTCACAAAAAAAAATAATTCTAGCCTTTTTCAAACTTAAAGAATTATTGTCAGACCTTCTGACACCCCGCGACGCTTCGTTACAAAGGACAGCCCCCCTTCCCCAAACGACCTGAAACCAACTATTCCGCAATTAGTTTAATCAAATTTATTAGATTTATTTTTTTGTAAAAATTGGGGTAAACGCCACTGAGAAGAGGTCAGCTTATGTAGGCTGATTTTTAAACTGGCAACACTACTTGTTACAGTTTATAACCTTTACGGATTTGATAAAAACGATTGAAATAAAGAAAGTATTAAAACAATAAAATAAATTGATTGACAGTAGACCATACATCAACAACACATACAATATATATTTACTATTATTTCTACATATTTAATTAAAAATTAGTTTTTGTTTTCGTTTAAAAAACGTGTTCCTAGACTGGGAACTCTTAGTTTTTATTTTATTAAATTTTAAAAAATCATAACCTTTCAACTTTTTCGGAAAAATTGTGTTTTCGTAATCAAAATATCAATATTACAATAATAATAGATCTATATTAAAATCTAGATTCTAGATCTGGTTTATTGCTAATTATTACTATTATAATTAGACCATACTAGTTATAGCCTACCTATGAAAATTGTCCTTTATGTGAACACTTCACTTTAGCACTTTAGTTTACTTTAGAATTGGGCCTAGTATCTATTATTAATTATCTATAATCTATACTTAATTACTTATACTACTATACTTTATAATTATATTATTTAATATTTATAGACTTGTCATTCCTATAGTTACTTTAGTATATATATTATATTATACTATATACTATATATATTATAATCCTATCGAGTATCTAGTATCTATCGGCTATGTGACATGTAACTATATTGATATATTGTATATAGTAATATAAATAAATATAGTATATAGTATATAAAATAGATCTACTACTAAATAGTCTAGTAAACATTCAAGTAAATAATAAATACATTATTAAATTAATAAGATATTATTTAATATTTATTGTTTGCGTGACTAGTACTATTTACTACTAACTTAACTATGTAGTAGTATGTACTAGTACTATAATTAATAGTTATTTAATATTTATTATAGGCCTAATAACTATAATATAACTATTAGGCCTAATAACTGTTTATAACTTATATATTAATATATATTAATATATTAACACATACTTATACAATAGAAAGTCTAGTACTAAAACTAGTACCACTAAAGTTGACCAAGTATTAGCGGTGAATACTTTTGTGCTAGTGGCTATATTTTTAAAATCTAATTGTTCTTATTCCACCAAATACAGTTTCAGTATTTACTATTCAGTAGCGAGTAGATTGATACATATTAGTAATAGCCCTGCAAATTACATACATTCCATTAAAACACAATTACCTTTAGTGAGTGTGTGTGTGGGAGGGGGTGGATCATTAATATAACAAATTAATTAATTGGAAATAATCTTTTTTATTCCAACTATCAGTCATTCTATTACAACAATGAATATGTTTACAAGAGATGAAGCCTTGGAATTTTTAAAGTCTAATTTGGATATTAGGAATATTGAGGAAAGAATGAAGAATGACAGAAAGTCACTCCTGGATGAAATAATAATGAATATGCAAACACATTTACCTTTTCAAAATATCAAACTTTTAAGTGAGCCTCCAGAGTCAAGGTAAGCAAAACATATTATAATTGTATTAATAATGAAATTTAGATTATTTTAAAAATATTTTTTTCCAAGTTGCCACTTTGGTTTTGGTGAATGAAGTAGGTTACATTAGCTATATATCTGTATTCACTGCAATTACAAAAAGAATACTTTCAAACCTGACAACCTATGGGGAAGGTAGAGTTCGCTTGTTTCTGTGACATTGGCAAATGCGAGAATGGTGTGGTCAGCACTATGCCCAACCGCTTTTACTTTCCCTACTATGAGTGCAGTCAGGTACCCATCAGAGCTAGACAGACTTGAGCCCAGGATCTGAACTTGATACTCTTGGTTAAGCAGTCTAATGCTCTACATTCAACCACTCAGTAACTGCTACAGCAGCTATAATTCCAACCCATTCATATATTAATTAAAATATTATTGGTGTCAAGTATCTTTTTAAAATGGATGTTCACAGACTTTACAATTACTCATGGGTTGTTATTATTATTATCATTAAATTTTTGTTTTTAAATTATGTATATGTACTATATTATATATATATATATATATATATATATATATATATATATATATATATATATATATATATATATATATATATATATATATATATATAGGGCCCCTATATATATATATATATATATATATATATATATATATAGAGGCTCAATATTTTAATAAGGATTGTTTAACATTTAAACTAAGTGCTCAGAAATTATTAACAATTTTTAGCGCAATTTCCATTCTGGAGAATTGCGTTTATTAACTCGTCATTTCTGGGAATGGATGGATGAATGAATGAATGTATGGATGAATGTGTGTCCGGGCTTTAAGTCGTATCTCCTCCTCAAAGAAGCAATATCGATGACTAGTTCCAAAAGCAATTATGTTAAGCAAGTTACGAGAATGAGCATAGGCCATAAAAATTGCTGGTTTCTTTCATGTATTTCCCGGAAAAGCCAAAAAACCTCGAAAAAATGCAGTTTTTGGCCCATATCACGGCAACCAGACCACTTAGCGACTTGAAACATGTACCAATCGATTCCTGCCATAATTTAGAACAATATTGCCGAAGAAAGTTTTCAAAAATATCCTTTCGTTCGGTCACAAACATTTTTTTTGAATTAATTAAAATTTGGACCGAATTAGTAGGCATTTTTTCCAACCACACCACACGCGTCATCACGTTCAATAGCTGCTCCATCACGTTCACTGGCTGCGTCATCACGTTCAGTAGCTAGGCGCGCAATGGTTTTTAGTCATGTAACTCTATTGTAAATAAAACATGTAAAATACTGAAAAAAAAATTAATAAAAAACGTTTTAATAACTAACCAATGGTTTTACTAACCCTGGCCTGCTCTTGATTTATGCTACGACAGAGCTATTTTTAGATAACATAAGGAAATTGCGCTTAAATTGTCACAAGACTTTTTAATTACCTTGTTTACTTAATGGGCTTATGTAAAAAAAAAAATTTAATAATTTCAGAAAGAGACCATCATTGGATGACATAAAAGCTGACCTCATAAGTGGTATTGGAGGGCTGTGCTATAATCTTAATGTAGCAGCCTATTATCTTCTGAAAGCTGTAGGTTTTGATGTTGTACTAGCCCATGCTACATGTACATCATCCACAAAATTCCAAGACAATCATGTTGCAGTTTATGTCAGAAATGTTGAAAAGCCTGGTGATAGATTTATAGCAGAGGCAGGATTTGGTTTCCCAACCTATCGTGCAGTCAGTCTTGATTTCGAGAAAGAATCCCCAATATATATTGACTCTTTTATTGAATACAAGTATATAAAATATGAAGGGAATCTTTTGCGGATGCACAGGAAAGGTGAATTAATTAAGGGCACAACCAGCAAACCAGATGGTGTACATTTTTTCCTTGATGGCTGGAGGAGGTTTTATTTTGCTGACCTTACAAAGTTCACAACAAATATTGAAGATTTTTATCCACCTTTTGATCAGGTTTGCCAGATTTTTATTCATTAATTTTAAAACTGTTAAAACTGTTGAATAAAACAGCATATAGTTTCAATTTATAAAAATATCAAAGATAAAAAAGAATTTTAGTATGACAAAAATATATGGTATAAAAAATGTTTTTTTTTTTTTTTAAATTATTCATCACTTACTAAAATTCTCATCTATGAATCTATTGGATCTTAGAAAATTAAGAAGCTATACTTGGCTTTTTTCTACTAAAACAGCGGGAAATTAAAGCACAACATTTTGTTATATTTTCAATAGAAACAATATCTGCATGTTTAGGCTTTATTTAAACACATTTACTCCTTGAAAGACCATACTCTTAATTTATAAAAATTCTAATTATGTTATTTAGCAATATACGAAAATGACTAATCACTTACAATTTACATCAATGCTATTTTTCAGGTATTTCAAAACCCAAAAGCATCTCCATTCCATTTATCTTTTAGAATATTAGGTTTCCCAGACAGGAAAGCAGTCATGGTGATCAATGAAAAAACCTTGATAGAAGATGAAAATGGTTTGTATTTACTTAAATTATTTAAATATTCCTAAAGGTTGATTTAATGTGTTGAAATCAATCTATTACCTTTAATATTTAGAATTAGTATTTATTATTTAATAATAAAAATATTTAATTTAATCTTTCATTAGGTGAGCTGGTTCCAACACAAATTGAAGGAGGAGATGAAGGGATAGTTAATGCTGTGAAAAAATACTTTCCTGTCATTCCAGAAGAAATGACTAGAAAAGCATTGACGCACTGGAGAGAAGCTACTAAATCTTAAGTTTTTAAAACTTACAGTTAAAACACAATGATGATGTATGAGTGTTATGTGATACAAATTTATTTGAATAATAAAGCATATTATGTACTGTTTTATTAGTATTATCATACTTTAAGTCAATTTATTTTATATTATATCTTTATTGATTTTTAAAATTAAACCTTCATTGTTTTAGGAACTTGAATTTACACATTTTATATTGCAAGTTATATATCTAAATTGAAAAAAGTTGACTAATATAGTTTAAACTATATACAGCTTGGGATTATTCTAGAAATTTATTTACACAAATAAATATTTGTTACCCATTATGTAAAAATAAACCACATATAAAACTGTATATTCTTTTACATTAATTTTTTAAAGAAGCAATTTGTTTTACATCTAATCATTCTAATCAGAGTTTAAAAAACTTTAACAAGGAAGACTTGGTTATTATATTCATTAATTAAATGTTTTCTAGAACTTATAATACTATTCATTTTACTTTGCTGTTGTATTGACCATAGCAAATTGTGATTTTGATTGTGATATCTTATAACTTATATAAGCTATAAATTATATTTCTTATTCTTAAAAAAAAAACTCTATCTATTAGACATTTAGGCAGTGTTTTTTATTGTTTACTGTTTTACCATCAAATGCTTCTGTGAATTAGCTAGTTTTCTTTTTAATTAAATTTTTTATTGAATTTCATGAAATAATAAAAAAATGTTTTTATGAGTTGTTGGACTAAAATATAAAATATTTATGTGTACAGATTATGCCATATCTCTTGTTCAATCCTATAAAATCAGAATTAAAATTATTTTTAATAACCTAATTATGAAATTTTTTTAAAACTTTGTCAGTGTTGGGTAATCCTACTTGTGGGTGCAGTGATATTTCAAACCCAATTATAAGTTGCAAGGCTAACTAGGCTATTCATAATTTGGCCAGATATGAGTTCTGTATTAATATAATTCAAAATTTCAAGATTAACAATGGTTGATAGGTGATATGGAAATGTAGTTTCCAGTAACATAGACAAGATATAGGTTTTTTTTCTGCATAGACACCTTCAAATGTGATAATGCATATTTGCATCCCAGCAAAATATAATAATATACATCACTGTAAGGTGTAGTTTGTAAAATTTATGATTTTATTTCCAATAATACCAAATCTGATATCAATACTATTATAGATAAATGTTATATCCATAACAAAACTATTGTAAACCTATAGAAAATAGAAAAGATAGAACAGTAAAGTTAGTTGACAGTTAGATCTAGTTAAAAATCTAGTAGGTCTATGAATGTAGGACTATACAGGATTTGATGGATTAGTAGATTCCTATAGCAAGTGATGCACTTGCAAAACATATATACTCTACTGTTAATTTGGAGGGGGGGGGGGGCGCACTTTCTTTTCTAATCAAGTCATAAGGGGGTCGTCCATAAATGACGTCACCCTCGTAGGGGGGTCGGGGGGGGGGTCTGTAATTTTGTGACGGTGTGTGATGAGGGGGGGGGGGAGGTTACGATGGTGCGATGTCACACTTTTGCATTATAAAAAAAGCAATGTTAGAAATCGAATTTTAGACGTTATTTCGCGTTTAAGAAAACTGTTTTAATAAATTGTAATAGGAATTGATTAAAATATTCTATTTTGACAGAGTTCAGACAGGATTTTAGAAAAATATCGATGTTTAAAAAAAAATTCAACTGCAATTTTGAGGGGGGGGGGTTGTAGGCTGAGGTGTGACGTCATTTTAGGGAGGGGGTCTGGCTTTTTGACGACGTGTGACGGAGCGGAGGGGAAGTAAAAATCGTCAAAAAAAGCGTGACGTCATTTATGGATGACCCCTAACCTACTCTTTAGATTGCCATCATTTTGATATTAGGCGACTAGTCACAGATATCAATAACAAGTAAGTATTGAACATCTTTAAAAACTGAAAAATTGACTGCATTCACATGCTTTTTAAATAAGCCTACTAGAGATCTAGATCTAAATGTTGTTTTCGGTACTTAAAATGACCACGATAAACAAAATTTAAAATCTCCATGTAGTCTGCGACCGTAAGTGAGACATTAGTATTAGATCTCTAGAACTAAGTAATAAAAGTAAGGTCTGCTGATTTAATGTTTTCATTTAGAAAATCTAGACTAATAGATCTAGATCTATTCTAGATCTATAATCTATGGAGTAGATTAGAAGAGTTAAGAAAATAAGAAGAGTTAGATCTAGAAACTAGAATTATTCGGTGGAATGGAGGCGAGCGAGTTGACGAGATTCCGTCCCCAATGTTGTTGACATGGAATAAAAACGTGCTTTTTAAGATTTAGACCGTAAAAAAAATAAAAAATAAAAACTTAAGCCTAAAATTAATTTAGAAATTTTATATTTTTAGAATAAATGCTATAAAAGTTGCAAATCCAGAGAACTTGAAAATAATTTGTTGAGTTTAAGGCTACATTTCTATTTATTTTCATCAAGCCTAAGTTAAAACCGGATGTTTCACTTTCGTAAGACAAATATTGATTGGCTGTACAGTAACTTAGTGATCGATAACTATTTGTTTACAAAACTTTGCAGATCAAGTTTTTAAATAACAATGCAAATTAAAAACCCCATGACCTAGTTTTCTATTTTTAGCTTACAATGTGTACAATAAAATCAATGACGGCCTATCCAATAGCAGGATGCCATTGTTTATGTCGCCATTACACGTGAAAACCAAATTGTTTTTGCTTTTTTTTAAATTTTTATTTAGTTACCGAAAATATTATATTATAAACATCAAATACATCCAATCTTTAGTAAAGTCCGAAAAAAACCAGATAGACAGGATTTTATAACCATATTAATTGTAACTACGCTGTGCATGATTTTTAAACTAATTTATACACCTCTCAAATACCTTTGAGAGTTTTCTCGCTCGTGTCCATTATTGGTAATCTATCGTTTTGGGTACGTAAAATCACCCGCGACTAGTAATGTGAAAAACAGGTGACTCCTTACATTTTAATAATTATTTCACATTTTGAGGAGGATTTATGTTTTAAAAATACAAAAATGTTTCCTTGTTTCATTTATGTACCTGTTTTTAAACAATTGAATTAAAACTTTTCAGTAATAAATGAAGACTAGCGATGTTTCCAACAGATGCAACCATGCTCATTTACTATAGCAGCCATCTTGTTAAAGTTTTATTTTTATAGACTTAAAGCGCAAGATTCAGGCGGAAGTCACTCTATTTTACAAATGGCTGCTGTTTATATAGGAAATCTTGCTTGCAGACACTGCTGTTTAAAGTTAATTTCTGGCCTATATTGATATATTTAGCCATTGATTTAGGTTTATTATTCATTTATCTATAATATTTGACACAAAAATTTCACAATATACTTCTATTACAGCCTTGACAATGAGGTAACGTTTTCGTACATTAATAGCCGTGGGCGATTTTACGTACCCAAACCGATAGATTACCGAATTATTGTCTCAGTTCACGAGTTCAGTCAGTGCAGTGACTCAGTGTAAACTGTAAACTGCTAAGTCGACAGTGAGTGTTGAAATGAAAGGCACATGATATAATATTATTATTAATGAATGGGACTGTGAAAATGCGATAATTGCCCCCCCTCCCCCTCCATGCGCCTAAAACAGGTCGCTATGCCTCTCTGCATGTGCATCAGTCATCATTTTGTGGTTGCTAAAAAAACAAATATTAAATAGCCTAAATATTAATAATGATCATAATCTTATAATGGTGATAATGGCTATTTTTAGTATTAGGCCTAGCCTATTTATTTTTAATAAAATTATTAGCCTCTACTCTAGGGTGGCTACTGGACATTACCCCCTCATCCCACCCAGATATCCCCCTCCCCTTTAATTACCCCCTAAGGAATTACCAACCCCCCCCATCCACCAAGATAGAATCCTAATTCTAACTCCAACTCTATACCTTTATCCTAACCTTAAGACCAAGATGAAAAACCTAAGAATTCACCTCACTCTAAAATTAACCCAAAACCAAACCCAACTATATATTTAAGCCAAAACCTTAACCCTAGGTCTAACCCTAACCCTAGACCTAGCCCAGAATCAAACCCTAGCTCTAACCCTAGCTGAACCTAAAGCTATGACCCGGGGGGGGGTAATGTCCTACTGGGTGGGGGTGAATGCCCTGTTCCTGTCTAGGGCCACGTTTTGTATTTGTATGTTCAGTTTCCTGCTCCTATTCTTCATGATAATGAATCATAATGGGCCTATATTTTATTTCAGCTTGCTGAGTTAAATTTCAAATTAAATTACAAGCCTATGCTGTATTTGTGATAGTTAAAAAATGTCTGCAGAGATAACCGACTTGTTCACTTTTTGTTCTGGCACTCGACAGCAAAGCACAGAAAGGGTATGGATTATTTTATTTGGTAGGCTAATTATTAGTATTATAATTAATGATAAAAAAGTTTATTCAAATTAATGAAGATGGAAGTTTCCTATTAGTATTTACCGTATGGTGCACTTCCATTACCAAACGTACACATAGGTTATGCAATATACCTATAGTTTCACCAGTGATGTATCTTAATTTCTTTTGATTGATTGTGTAAGTTTGGTTAGAATTTGTTTAAAAAACTAATCCCATTTTTAGCGCAATTTCCATTCTGGAGAATTGCGTTTATTAACCCGTCATTTCTGGATGTATGAATGTCTGGATGGATGGATGGATGTGTGTCCGCAGCTTTAAGTCGTATCTCCTCCTCAACGAAGCAATATCGATGACTAGTTTCAAAAGCAATTATGTTAAGCAAGTTACGAGGATGAACATAGGCTATAAAAATTCCGGGTTTCTTTCATGGATTTCCCGGAAAAGCCAAAAAACCTCGAAAAAAAGCAGTTTTTGGCCCATATCTCGGCAACCAGACCACTTAGCGACTTGAAACATGTACCAATCGATTCCTGCCATAATTTAGAACAATATTGCCGAAGAAAGTTTTCAAAAATATCCTTTCGTTCGGTCACAAAATTTTTTTTGAATTAATTAAAATTTGGACCGAATTAGTAGGCATTTTTTCCAACCACACCACACGCGTCATCACGTTCAATAGCTGCACCATCACGTTCTATGGCTTCGTCATCACGTTCAGTAGCTAGGCGCGCAATGATTTTTAGTCATGTAACTCTATTGTAAATAAAACATGTAAAATACTGAAATTTTTTTTTAATAAAAAACGTTTTAATAACTAACCAATGGTTTTACTAACCCTGCTCTTGATTTACGCTACAACAGAGCTATTTTTAGATAACATAAGGAAATTGCGCTAAAATTGTCACTAGACTTTTTAATTAACTTGTTTTTAATTTTAAAGTGACATTTGATATTAAGGCCCTATTGAAAATGTATTATTAGATTAATAAGTAAATTTAAAGTAAAGTTAAGGATAAAAAAGAAAACAGTATCATTTTTTTTTATTATGTTGATATTCATTTCCAAATTGAATATGAACTTTTTATTCAAAATGTATTAAAAGTAGTTTAAAGTAAAATAAAGATTCTCAAGCATTTAAGTAAACAAAGCCTTTGTGCAAAGGGTATAATTTTAAAATTTATTTTGATGTTACATTCTAATTGTACTTTGATAAACTGTTTTTAAATTTTTAAATTTTTTTCCATTTACTTAGTTGACGCCACATAAGTTGTCAATTATGGCATTAGTTTATAAGTACCAGTTACTGTGTGGCCTCCAAGATAAAATAGATGAAAGTATTGATTCCTCCGAAGTTTTGACAGATAGAGAGAAAAGAGTTTTTATGGTGATCTTGCTCAACCTGCTTCAGGTTTCCAGTTTTTTTTTTATTATTTACATTTCAAAAGCTCATAGTATGTTTACCATAAATATTCATTTAAAATAATTTTTCTTGTGTAAAGAGATTTTTCATTTAATCATTTTTTTGTCAACTCTCCTGCATTCAGAGTCCAGATATGGATTTGAAAACATTACGTCAACATATTGATCCTGTATTGAAGCCTGCTATTTTAGATTATTTGTATGAGTTGTAAGTAATTTATACTTGTTGATTATCATATTATTATGATTTTTCTATTTTTGCATTGCTTATTAAACTATGAGTACTTAAATTTAAATAAATAAACATTTAAATTGTCATAGCTATATTAGCAGTTATTGAAGACTGTTTTATGTTTATTTTTTCTTTACTTTACTATTTATAGCATGTTTTTAAGAATATTTTAAAATTGTTCTTTAAAAGCATGTTGTAAGGTACTTTTGTATATTTTCATCAATGTAAAGTACTCTTAAAGTATTGGAAAGTCTCTAGTTTAGAATCCGGACTCAAATCTGTAGGATATCCCTGAGTTCACTATGCTCTGATGGGTACCTGATTTAAGTTAGCAAAGTAAAGGTGTCAGGGCATAGAATTTACCACACTATCCCTTCATATATCATAGTCACAGAAACAGCTGAATGCTACCGTCAGGTCCAAAATGATAACTTTTCTTTATTTCTATATCCAGATTGAGGACTATTGCTGATTCTGGTGTCAAGCCTATCAATGATTTTTTTGACAATGTTTCCTCTTTGTTGTTATCTGGTGAAAAAGAAGGTGTCATTCGCAGAGAGAGTATCATGGGTAAATTTAATTATGAAAATTTTTCACTTTCATTATTTATTAATTTTATTTAGACATGTTTAGTCATCTTGTTGTGTTATTTATTAAAGCTATAATTATATAGAAAACTTACTAATTAAGGAGAGAAATTAATTCTGTTTTTTGTTTTGTTTTGCAATGCTCTGCTAGGTCTTTATATCAGAAGGATGGAGCTAGCTTATAATGAAATGTCCTTTAGTCAAGTTGTTGACATGCATGTAAGTACCAGCTTTAAAAAATTCATAGAATTCAAATACTATGTACTCTATAGAAATTTTACATAAGAATTCTAAGTTTGAAAAGAAAACCTCTCTAATGTGATGTAACATTGCTAGCTTTCTATAAGAGAGAATGTATGGTTATATTTTTAAAATATTTTAAAAATAGAATAAAGTGCGAAGATATTATGAAGCTGGCTTTCCAGAATGCAAGGAAGAAATAGACAGGTTCTCTTCTAGGAAGTCAAGTATTCATGGCATATCTGATACAGCTTTGAGCATGTCATTGCTAGAAGATAGCCCATCTATGGACTCTATTAACGGACAGTAAGATTTCCATTGTTACATAAGTTACCCAGTTTAAAATAAAAGTTTGCTGTTTTTTATCAAGCTGATCATTTGTTGTAAAACAGCGAACTGTACAATATTAATTTTTTTATTTTACATTTTTGACCTATTTCTAAGGAAAAAATGTTCTACTTTGAGATGCGGAAATTGTTTTCTCAAATTTATTAATAAAGTTTTATACTCTGCAGAAGTTTCTTTTCAAAGAAGCAAGCAGAATATTTTATCGCAAACCAGGCTCAAATGCTCAGTCACAATGAAGGGAAAGCACTCTCACCTGAACAGCTGCAGCAAAAAATTTCTAACATACTAGCAGCTAATCCTGACATGGCAGAGGCAGTGAGTATTTGAGTTTTTCAACAAAAATTTAATCTTCGTAAAATAGTTATAATTTTTTACCAAGTGTCGTTGATATAAAGTTTAAACAGCTAATGTTGCTTGGATGTTGGACCAGTTCGACTGTAGTTTTGTTGTAGAGTATATACTAAGGGGGACGTTAAAAATATAGCGAATAGGTTGCATAGATAAATAATCTGAGGGAGGCTGAAGTTATCAGTATATTCATAGATAGAAGTCAGAGTAGTCAATAATAGTGATAGGTATTTATTTTAGTAGTTTTTGTATAGTGATGTTCAAGAAAAAAGCATAGTTTTACTGTGTTATTCAAGACTTTTGGGTGATATGAGTGTCCATCAGTAGGGGCCAAAGACAGGTTTTTCTAAACAAAGATAATCCTAGTACCAGTGTGTTTCCCTTACCACCACATATGAATGAAGCATAATATAACGTGCTTAGTCTAAGAGAATAATTAATTCTATCTCCAGCACTTTCTGAGCTACATCAACAGTTTACGAGTGAAAGAATATTGTACGGCTGTCCACAGTCTGTACCATTACTTTGATAGAAAGGCTTGTGCGGTGCACGATGGAAACGTCAGCAAGAAGAAGGGTGTGGCTGAAGAGGTGGCGATGAGATATGCGGCATTAAATCTTGCATCTCTGCAGTTCCGCTTTGGCAATAAGTGAGTAATGTCCCTAAATTTGAGTAATGTCACTAAATTTGCATTCAACCTCTTTGCTCAATATTATGCCTAAAGTAACCTTTTGTTATTGCTGATAAAGTAGAAATTAAGTTGTTTTTTTTTAAATGTAAAAGCTTGTGTCCACTAATATAGTCTTTTGAAACTAATAGCTAACTTTTTACGGGATCCAAAACCAGTTTCTTCCAATTATTCTTTAAAATTTGTTGCTAAGTTAGAAATATAACAATATTTTGGCTATTCTATATATTTTTATATTTTTTATGGTGATTATAGAGAAGAATGTCGAGCAGCCTTACAAGAAGCCATAAGAATGGCCCAAGAAAGTAATGACCAGATATGCTTACAGCATGCTTTGGTAGGTATTCCTTTTTAATTTTTTTTTAATTCTTGATGTATATCACAAAATCATTTACTGAATTCTTGTTCTACCGACAAATGTTAAGCTTTTCAAAATATAAGTTATAGAGGACATAACAGAGCTAGAAATTGAAGGCACAAGTTTACAGCTTAAGTGTAAAGTTTGAATACGACATGTTTGTTGTTTTACAGGTGTGGTTAAACCTGTTAGGTGAAAGTCATACAGGTGTGACACAGTTGGAAAGATCAATCAGAAAAACCATAGACCTCTCTCTTCCAGTAAGTTTTAGGTTATCTTTTTTTACCATTTTAAAAAGATTTTAATGGTTTGTGATAAAGAAAACAAATTTTACAAGTATTTAACTTTAGATTTATTTAAATCTATGCTTTCATAACCTCGACAAGTTTCTGTATCCAGCTCTGATGGGTACCTAGCTCACATTAGGGAAAGTAAAGGTAGCTGGGCATAGTGCTGACCATACTATTCCTTCATCTGTCGAGGTCACAGAAACAGGTGAACTCTAATTCACTTGCCCCATAGACTGTCAGGTTTGGAAGGGGAACTACCTTACTTTACTTAACATTTCCTGTGACTGTTATGATTGTAAGCAACATTTTTATAAATGAAATTTCATGAATTTCCATCATATTATCTTTATTTGCAGAATCTGACTGTGTTGGGGTTGAACTGGATAAGTAAAGGTCTTGGCACTGGAACTGAACTACCTGCAAGGTAGGTGTTTACCTGAAATGCTTCTCACAGTTTTTTAAATTACTGCTAACTTATAGTGCAGCTATAGTTAAGTTGATAACTTAGTTTAAGATTTTATAAATATAAATCTCAGTTGTCTAAAACTGTCAAACTGCTGGTTGTTTCTTTTTCTTTAATTTTTTCTTTTGAGGTGATGTGATGGAAAATTAATTCACTTATCCCATTTTTTTATGTGCTTGCTAAAGAGTTTTCTTATTTAAATTATCTATCATCTCATTATGTGTACCTCATGGACAGATTGTATATTTATTAATGTAGGTGTAACGTTATATTCTTAATCGATTTGTTGAATAGAAAAGCACCAGCATTAATTGTATGAAACAATTCTTAGTGGTTCTTGTTAGTAAAATCTTGTGCCATGCTTATAATTTTAAATATTTGATCACTATGTGGTGACTGCAAATTATACATTTTTCTATTTTTCTTAATTATTATTACCAACCTTTTTTTTTTCTAGAGTAATAGACTACTTCACTCAAAGTAATCTGATAAACTGCATGCATTCAAACTATGGAATGATTTCATCTGGTTGTGTGCAGAGGGCTGCCATGTGGCATTACTATGGGAAAAGGTTTGTTAAATAATTTTATTATTTTACACAATTTATAATTTGTTTACTTAAAGAAATTGTATTTTAATTTAATTGGATCAAAGATTACATTTTCTTTACATGAAAAAAAATTAATTTTAATCTAAGTGGGTTTTTATTTTTTCATGTGTTAGCACTTTTTAACAATAAGGGTAAATTAATTCTCTGCTGTTAACTTTTTTGTTTTCTTCAGAGAGTTGTGTTCCCTGGACAATCAAATGGTTCTCAATCTAAACACAAGCATAAATGGTGTCTATTACAATGGGCAAGCAGTTTGCATTGCTTTATGTAACTTAGCTCAGCTACATGCAGATATTGTAAGTACCTCGAACTAACAAATTATTTGTTAACTTTATTTTGTTATCTATTTTATGTTTTATTACGCTTATACTATTTATATAAAATATTATTTTTGTTAATATATAAACACTTATTTATGTCAACTGCATAGTCTGATGCCATTTCTAATGCACAAAAAAAACTCTTGTAGGAGTTTTTCATATTTTGATTTTCTTGATCTAGTTAAATATAATTATTATTTTAATTTTCTATTTCTTCTTATTAATTTTAAACAAAGTTAATTTTTATTTGAAAATAACAGGGGGAATACACAGTGGCTGCTGATATTCTAAACCAAGCCAAATTAAGGTTCCCATTCAACTCACCTCACTGTGAAATCTGGCAATCTTGTCAACAGAGGATAGCCTTCTATCGTTCACTGAATAATAGAAAATTGAATGCAGCAGAACAAATTTTAGTAGATTTACAAGCAGTTGATGAACCTGAAGCTAAAATAAGGTTTTTAATTATTCTATTGACTAATTTATGTTATGAAGTTAAGTTTTTAATAATATTTTTTGATAAAGCATTTTTTTTAAATTTGAGTAAAGTCTTTATGAATTATAATATTAATTAATATGTAGGTAAATTAGTTCCATACTATTTTTCACTTTTCTGTAGAAAGCCAATTTTATTAAGAGAACAAGGCCAGGTAACAGAAGCATTTTCTTGCTTGGATAAATTATTAACAGAATGTGATAAAGAAAAATCTGGCTATTATGCTGATTTTAGATGTCGGTGAGTGAACAGAGCATTAATAATTTATTTTAAAGGAAAATAGGTAGCAATATAGTTAAAGCTTTTAAAAGTAAAATAAAGGAGGGTTTTTTTTTTCAAATATTTAATTGAAGAAATTTTAATTGCCACCAAAATTTTGTTTTAATGCCAGTAATTTTTTCATTGTAATTTCCTGTTATTATATCTATATCATGGTTATACTTTTCATCCAATAGTGTTTTGCTTGAGTTAGCATCCCTATACATAGCCACTGGCAATCACAGTGTTGCTGTTATACATATCACAGACTGTATTGCCCATGCAAAGAAACACTACCTAGAGTTGTATGTTGGTATGGGAACAGCTTACTTAGCATTTGTACAGGTAAGAAAACAATTGCCAATTTTTAAAAATAGACAAAGTGTTTCTACTAGCAGATGTCTTATTTGTGAAAACTGCAGGTGTGAAGTTATAAACGTTTATTACCAGAATAAGAAAAAATCATATGTAATAGAATACAGTGCCCTCTCAGACTTTGTGGTTCATGAAAGAAGCAAATTTATTACAAAATATTTTTTGTTTGTAACCCTGTTTGAACTAGACAATTTCCAATTAAAGTTTTAGTACATTTTTGACATTTTTTTAGAAGGGCATAAAATGGGAAAATGTTATTTTAAAAAGTTTACTGACTTAAATTATTGGTATACAACACTAATTTATTTAAAGCATTATGAAAACTGATACTGTTGTATGTAAATTGCCTTTTTCCCTTTTAATCAATATTGTTGCATCTTTTTTAACCACTATATTTTCTACTTGATTTAACCCATTGAATTGTATCTTGCTTCAGTTGAATATGAATTTACCAGAACAAGGCTTGCAGCTATTAGAAGTTCAGCTCACCAGGATCCTGACTAATGCCACAGCTCAGGATAAGGCGCGGGCTTTATTTGTCTACACCAAGTGTAAAGTCGCGGCAGCCAAGAATCTCAGCACAACACAAAGAAAAACAGGTACCCTTGTTCATTCACACTTTTCATTTTTACTCCTAAACAGACTGGAATTTTAATTGAATCAACGGAGCCATATATATATAATTCTTTCAAATTTTTTTATTTGCCAGTATTTATGTTTGGGTTATTTCAGAAACATAACAAAAAATAGCTTGGTACTTCTGCTAAACAAATCTTCCTTTTAATTCTACAAAATTTACCAAGTTGGTATTAGGGTGCTTATTTTTAAAAACATTTTATGTAAAAAAAATTGTCAGATTACCAAGTGTAAATAAATATAATAATTATTTTTTACAGTTTATGATTTTGTTTAACAGAGTTAAAAGCTTTTCTATTTCTTTCAATTGCTAGTTAATTATTTAGTACATTTGTTCATTTTTATTTTATCCCATTTTTCTCTCCACAGAATTGGTTTCAGCTTTGAGCTTGATGTCAACAGTCACATCTTTATTCAAGGCAGCAGAGGCTTACATGTTGGAAAAAGATGCCTTGTACTACCAGTCTTTGTTATACAATGAAATAGGGGACACTGAAAATAGAAACCATTGTGCACACCAGTTTAAGCAGTTAGATAAATTTTACCCTACACTGAGCTCAATTGCTATAAATGTAGTATAAATTGTAAAGATATGTCTGTGTTATGCTGTATATTATTTGGATATTATATAAAAAATGTTTTGTATATTACATATAAAGCACATTTTATGTCTTGGTTTAACAAAAGCATTTAAAAAATACAAAAAACTACATCAGAATCAGGTTAGAAAAAAATCATTTATAAAGGAGTTAGATATTTTATTTAAGACTTAATTGGTTACAAATATTTAAAAAATAAAATAAATATTTCTAAACTGAAACTGTAAATAATGTATTTGCTGTAACCTGACTTTGTTATTGTAAGTTCATAAAAAATAAACTGTTGTTATTCTGATAATTATCTTGTTCTCTTCTAAATGTGTGTTAATGCTGGTTAGTATTTTGTTGTGTTACCGACTTGTTTTGGGGAGTGAACTCCCTTTAGACATGGATAAGTTAGCTAACCAAGGTATCAGTATTTATCTGAACACCCGATACCAAAAAACTCTTCCTTCTTTGTTGGGTGTTCTACACATCTGCTCAATGTGGCTCTATGCAGAGAAAGTACTGGCAGCCATTTCAGATGTCATCATAGTCAATGTAGGCCCTAACATAATTACATTATTTTATATTAAATCTAGTTGAAGCTTTAGTAAAACGATTTGCATTGGAAACCAAGCATCATCACAAAAACCTCACACTTCATTACACCCTTCCCAAGTACCTATTCTTTTCTAAATTGTAATTTCTTTCTAAAAAAATCGATTGTACTGTTTCACTTCCATAAATGGGGGGGGGGGGGTGGCAGTACACTCGTGAACCACTGTAACACTACTGCTAGCAGTGGCGTAGTTAGGGGGGGTCATAACCCCCCCCCCCCCCCCATAGACCCCTCGGTATATAAAAAAAATATGAGGGGGGTGCAAATCGAAAGTTTGAGGGGGTGGGGTGCAAATCGAAAGTTTGTGGGGGGGGGGGGTGCAAATCGAAAGTTTGTCCCCGGGTAGAAATTGGACCCCCCCCCCCTTGAGACGATCCTGGCTACGCCACTGACTGCTAGGGCATCAGGTGCAACCACCTGTCTTCGTTTAGTCTATGATTGCTGTAGCCCACTGTGTCCCCAGTGGACATTCTTTGATAATTGGATCCCTTTTGCAGGACGCCCAAATCAACGAATCCCAGGATTTGATCTTCTGGCTCATACGTCTCTGAACTGATCTTAAAAACCAAAGTTAGTTGAAAATAAGCCACTCATATACAATGAAACGCTGAATTAAGACCAACAGCTCAAGTTAAGGTTACATTTATGGAAGAAGAAATGTGGTTGACGATCAGCTGGTTTAAAGTAAATAACAGATGCACAGAGCTAGAGGCCTGACGTGAAAAAAATAAATTGCCACGCTCATGCATTGGCGCTCTGCTAGGCGCCAATAAATACGTCAAGTAGTAGAGGCCTACATTCGATGATTTACATAACATGACAGTTTAAAAATAGTTGTTTGTGTAAGGTAATTTTAAATTGTAATTAATTTCCGAAGAAGGCGCCACTATCCTTAAAAATGAATTTGTTCTAGGAAGAGCGTGATTCCCCTCCAAATCTCCCCCCCCCCCCCCATTTACGCGATTATTTAAAGAAGGAGATATTTTCTTTTCTTCTGTTAGTGCAGAGATATAGAATAATATTATATATGTAGACCTATAGAATCTATATAGATCTAATAAAGCTTTTATTGCAAACGTTTTCTTTTTTTTCTTTTTTGTTTATTTTCATTTTCCGGAGTCATTAAGAAGAAAAAAATAATTATTTGTTTCAAAACTTTTTTCAGCAGCAGACGAACACAATTTTTAATAAGATGGAAATCTAGGTCTTGGCTTGGTTATGGTTGTTTGGGCTAGACCTATCGATTTATTTTAACTGAACGGCAAAGATGGCTTCAACTTTTCTGCTGCTGGTAAACTACAATTTAAACATTTCTGGGTGAAATTTTTAAACGCGTAGATCTACATAGATCTAGATCTACCCATTTACTAACTAGATCTAGTCTAAAGTAAACTAGTCTAGCCTACCTTTCTAGATTCTAGATCTGTCCAGATCTAAGATCCAGATCTCTGAATCTTAAGATTAGGTACTAGGATAAATTTTGAAAATTGGTTTAATAGGAAAACAACCACTACAGTTAAAAGGAGCAAAAAATTACAATAACAGATCAGTTTTCCTTTTTGATGTAGCTCAAACGGTTAAATAGTTATGATTTTTTTTCGTATTAAAAAATGTGATTTTTTTAACATAGGATTTTTTCCAATTTCTGTGTTAGAGTTTTTTTAAGCGTTTACTAAAATTGTCCTAGCTTGTAAACCATATGGTCAAATTGATTATAACTTTGCAATATCTTTATCTATCATATATGCAAGGATAATAAACAATAAAATTAGAAATTTATGGGCAGAGTTAAACAAAAACAGAAGTAGAACAGGGTACCCCCCCTATTTTTTCATATACAGTGCATTCATAAAATCTCAGTTAAAATTTTAACACTTTGAAAAATTAAGCTCAAACTTGCTGAGAATGATGAGCTATGGATGTGTTAGTTATTACAATCAAAATAATATTCATAACTGAAAAGATTTTTGTTTTAACTGCTACAGAGCTGATAGATTATGCCATTTCGCAAATCCGAAGTCTTGTTGATGTTAAATGCAACATGATGGCAAATTTGAGTTATTAAGCACTTAAGTCTCAAAATTTGTCTGGCTCTAGATGACTCTATTCTCAAACAGAAACAATCAAAATATGTGTTTAAATCTATCTGTTTGACAAAAAATAAGGGGTGGAACAGGGTAAACCCCCTATTTTTAAATACGAAATTTGTTCATACACCATTTGTTTAGGCTCAATCTATTTGAATCTAAAGCTAACAACTAACTAGAGTGAAGCTCTAAGATAAGTGTGTTTAATGGTTCTATCTAAATAGTTGACAAATAGGTAAAGGATGGTAAAAATGTAAAATGCTGAGTCATCGACACACCTGACATTGAAAAACTGAGCGCACATATTTAAATTTAAAAAATGAAGGCTAATTTAATCTTTTAGAAATGTAAGGTGTTTTATTCGAATAAATGTAATAAACTTGTTGATATACTTATATATATAGTTTAATTTAAAAAATATGTGTTTCTGCCTATTCGTTAATATATTACATTTCAGGAGAAGTTCAACATTGGTTGGTTTTAAAAGGATATAGTTCATATCACAAATTAATTAGTTTGCCTAAATAAAAGATGAACACATTATTTATTTTAATAGTTTTAATTCCTCTTTTACATAGTGTTCCATCATTAGACCATATAACTGTCATTAGGCCATATAACTGCTTATCATATTGTAGAGATGTGCTGGTTTTAGAAGTGTAGGTTCTATCTGGAAAAGTAAACAGTACAAGTACATTATTTGCCTTCCCATCAAAATAAAAAGGTTTTCTGAATACACCAAATATTTAATGTGTATTGTTATTACAAGACCTTCCTTTCTCTCCCCCCCCCCCCACCCCACTACCGTCAATATCAAAACAACGCTCACCCCAATCGCCGGCGTCTAAACAACGCTCGCCACTATCGCCGACGTCAAAACAACGTTCGCCGCTATCGCCGGCGTCAAAACAACGTTCGCCACTATCGCCGGCGTCTAAACAACGCTCGCCACTATCGCCGCCGTCAAAACAACGTTCGCCGCTATCGCCGGCGTCAAAACAACGTTCGCCGCTATCGCCGGCGTCAAAACAACGTTCGCCACTATCGCCGGCGTCAAAACAACGCTCGCTGGCGTTAAAACAATGATAGCCACTATCGCCGGCGTCAAAACAACGCGCGTCGGCGTCAAAACATTCAAATCCCCGACAAAACCGACATTCAAATCCCCGACAAAACCGACATTGATATCCCCGACAAAACCGACACTGAAATCCCCGACAAAACCGCTCATCAATAAGGCACGTGGCTAAGCGCTCGCGTCATCAATGCTCACGATAAAACAGCTTTGCCGCCCATGCTACAGTGATAACACCAAAAATGCACGGCGCTACAAAGTTTACATTCAAACACATGTGGTGAGAAACTTAAAAATGTAGTAAAGTATTTGTATCTATCAGCGGGCGAAAAAAATTAACCATAAATGACGTCACCAAGTTGTATCGCCCACCGATGTTTACTAAGTTACATTTACTCAACCCTCACGCACGTAGCACATCAGAAAAAGCCAAAACTTGACCTCACTTTCACCCGTAATTCTGTGACGTCAAATAGGACGGTCATTGACCGTTTCCCAGTGAACACAGTTAAAAAAATAAAACACGCTAGGGCCTATAGATTTGTTATATATATAAAAATCTACAATAATATTAAATAAGTTAACAAATTAGGCCTACACTGTTCCAAATATAAAAAAAAAAAACAACAAAGTTGATACGCCTATCTTGCCCACAATCTAATACATAATTTCCTAGTTAATGGCCGTCTTTACACATGCTTACGCTTAACACCATATGACGTCATGCAATTAGTCAAGCTTCCCCCCCCCCCACTCTCTCCCCATCCACAATACAGTAGACCCTACACATAACACAATCATCTCCCTCTCGTGTAAGCGTAAAGTATTAAGAAATAAAGAGACCCGACACCTTCCGGTTTTTTACTTTCGCTTTCTAAGTAAGCACTAGACAGCGCTTAACCATACACCCCACTGTGCAGCATATAACTTCTATGAGCTGCATCCAAACTCTTTCAAATTTCAGTATGATAGAGGAAAATGGTGTAGGGACTCTAGCAATCAAAAAAAAAAGACATGCGTCCAATAGTTAATTTTAAATAATAAATCAAACTTACCTTATTTTCAATGAAAAGCTCCATTTTGAATAATCCATGAAAATAAAAACAAAATATAAAAAGCCAGGCAAAGTCCATTTTTAAGTAGAAAAACAATTTTCACATTAAATTTGACCGTTCAATAACGGAGAGGAAAAAAATTTACTAAACCGTCGAATTCGCGTAGCCGCACACGCAAACCTGTCGGTAACGGGAGAAAAAATACGCCGCTCAGCGAGAATCGGGAGGCCAATCCTAGTACCTACTTAAGATCTTCTAGAATCTAGTCTAGGCCATGAGTATGCGGCCTAAGCCCTGCCCGATGCCCTGAGATCTAGATCTAGATCTACTCGTATTATAACTCTGTATTATAACATGTGTCTAACTGTCTTAGTTAGACACATATTTGAAATAAGATCTAGATCTAGAATCTAGGGTAAAACCTTAGTTTAGCATCGGTTATTCCGGAATGGTATTTTTTAAAGCAGTAAAAAACAGTAAAACAATGGCAAAGTCTGTCACACAGTTCCGGAAGTACTGTAAACCATACTTTATTTGGCGTCATCTTTTATTTTTTAATACAGAACGTTTAATTTAAAATTTGGATAGATTTAAATACTGCTTTACTAATCATTTTGTATAGTGCCTAACTAGTTATTTTTAAGTATTTCAGATAAATATATCCGTCCGCTACTAAACATTGTTTAACAGGGTTCGTACGCAGTCTGGAAAAAATCTTGAATTTAGAAAAGTGAATTTCAGACTTTAAAAAGTCTGGACGGGTCTACACTGTGGTATGACGTTTTTTTGCTGGATCGCAGAAAACCTGATTTCTCAGTTACTACCTCATTGGGTGAGGGGGGGGGGGGGGGGGGAAATAAGTGTTAGACCTATCTAGTTTCTTTTTTGTTGTTGTTGCGTGAAAAATGATAGATATCACTGATATCTAAACTTGTATGAACTAACCATGACCCCAAGTAGGTAGTTAGTGCTGTTTGGCTGGGGAAAGGGGGGGGGGGGGTAAAAGTTACAGATTAAACTTGGCTACTGTGACCTCACAGTGACCCCTCCACCGTCTCTTGGGGAGGGGGGGATACCAGTAGTTTTTTAACAGCTGTCAAAAGTTTCTCAGCTATAAGCACAAATAATGGTGTCGTTACAAAGGTCTGGTTTCATTTTCAAAATAGGGTACAAACCCTGTTTCTAGTCACTTGTACTATTTTTGTAATCATTTTTACTATTTTCGTAATCTAGATTTTTTTTTTTTTACTTAGCCTAGCAGCTAGCTTTTTAAAAAAATCTTAATATTGTTGCTCCTATGATCACCAGCTCACGTCTCCTTGTCAGTTCAGTGGGAGAAAAATCCCATCTTAGTCATTGGGTCACTGTGAGTTCATAGAGAATATTATTTTAGACGTTTTTAAAAAATCTTTATCTAGCATCATATATCAATTATATTTGATCTATATTTAAAATTATAAACATTGTCACCCGCTACTTGCCTGCTCATGTTTTCTTGTGTACGCAAGAAAACTACCATCGTTTGAGGGGGTCACAGTTAGTGCATATAAAAACTTAAACATAGGTCGTAGCCAAAGCAATAACAATATGACAAAATGCGCTTGGGGTCATTGTGGGTTTTTATAATCTTGTCAGTGGGAGAAGGTGCAGAGAATTGTTGAAAATGTAGAAGTATAAATAAATAATTTAATAAGTATAATTTATTTTTTATTAGCCTAAGTAATTTAAATTATAAACATTTTAAAAATCATCTTTATTGACATTTAGATCTATATGATGAAAAAATAAATCGTTGGCGGCGGTAATATTGCAAAATTTCTTTGCAACAATACAACATATGGTTGCAACAGAAGTGGCTTCAAGCGTGCAAATGTCATGTGACCGACGTTTTTTGCACCCATATCACAATTTACCGCATCGCTGTTTCACGTCTTCCAATTTACCAATGCCCATTAACACGATGACATCATACGTAACTGCATTTTTAATTTTTTGTTGCATTAAACCACTTTAACTTTATTACGCCCTATCGATCTAGTTTAACTCAAGGGTCGACAACATATTTCGAAATCTCAAAAATAGATGTTGACATAGGCCTAGGCCTACTAAAGAGGGTATTTGAATTAGTTTCTCATTTCAAAAGGAACTTCAGTTAAAAATATTCAAAAACACATTTAGTTCTGTTGTACATATTAAATTATGGCAAATCTTTAAGTATTAGTAATTTGATCTATTCATAATTTTTACTGTTAGGAAATTCTGATATATGGTGAGTCAGGTACACTCAATCTTTAAAGTGTCACCATTGGCTACTTGGTGCATTAAATCATTTCAGTAGTTCACTGTATTCTTGGCTTAACAAGAATCACATCATACGATAGGCCTAACAATCATCACTCTTTTAAGTTGGTATCATCCTTGATCTGTAATTTCATGTATCCCTATATGCGTCAATGTCTGCCTAGGTCACTTACTTTGGTGAATATTTTTTCCTTGGTTTCAATAATTATGCACTCCATGCTCGCATTTTTAAATATACCGACATTTATTTATTAGAAGGTGAACATAATCAAACACAATACAAAGTTTTTTATTGCAGTAGAATAATATATGAAATGTATAATCTTATTACGCAACTAATTAATTAGTTATTTCATTATTTCAAATAATAATGGGAGTTAATTTTTATTAAGGCAGAACACTATGCAGACTTGGTATATGGCCTCACCTCTGTAAAAGAGATTGTTTATATTATTGTTATGAGTTTATATTTAACCCAAAGCAACAAGATGCGGAGGGAGCAGTTTTTGCTCCCTCTGCATATTTTTACAGCTTGGCCAATTAGCAATTGGTGTCTCTCATCTTACTGATACTGAATCTAGAAATCTAGATTTAGTCTAGAATTTAGATACATTAAAAAGTATTCTTTTATATCTAGATCTATATTTTTAGTCAAATTTAAATCTGTTGTTTAGCTGCTATCAACAGTCTGTCTCTAGTGGTCTGCTGTTCTGTCCGCTTTTCATGTATATGTAGTTAATTAGTGATAAATAAAGACACTACTATTATTGTTGAATCACATTATCATTTTAATTCAAGATTATAAAGAAATGTGTGATCCTCAGTTCTGTGCCTGAAAGTGTGAATCTTTTTTATTTTTATTTAAATATAAGCATTACATGAAAGGTTTCTTGTGAAACAATAAATGGCCGGTTCACAAAAAAGCTAAATTAAATATATACATATATACATATATGTATATTGATTTAGCAATCTGGCCACTCTGTCCTATTACGAGTTGGTTAGATAAATCTTTTGTTCTCCAATAGCAAAATAGATCTGCAAAATAATAATCTTAGTAAAATTATATCTTTACCTTGATGTCATTTCACTCATGTATTTGAACTGAGCAAATTCATTAACAACTAATGAATAATATATATTTTTTTCCTTTTTGCTTGGATATGTTTTGTTTATCAATATTTCAAATTTAAATTGAATACGAATGATTATTTGGTTATATATAATGTTAACATTTTTTGGGCAAATGGCATTCGGACAAGTGTCCACTCTGGCATTTGTCGCTTTAGGGCAAGTGTCAGTTTGGGAAATCTGGCAAACGGCATTCAGGCAAATGTCCGGCTCCCCTTAGTATAAGTAGTTGGTTTGAAATTTGTAATATTTTATCTATTGGCAGTACCCATATTAAAAATCCATTTAGGTTTAAGTTTATAAGCTGGCTGTCTTGCAAGTTATGTCATGTAGCCATATTTACATAACATAACATGTTATATATATAATTTATATTCTTTATGCGTGTATATATCTATATCTATCTATAAATGTTTGTGTATGTATGTATATATATTATTATATATATAGATAGATACAGATATATATCAACACAATACATAACCATATCACTGGCTTTGGAGACAAGTGTTTATTTTAGAGCATTGACATATTTCCGAAGTTATCACTTAAATATTTTTATAAAGGTACATTTGATGAAAATTAAATAAAATTGTGAATTTTAGTATTATAATCTAAGCACTAATTTGTTAGCATTCTGGTTTATACATAGAGTTTTTACCTTCATTGGCCATGTGAGTTTTAGTGTAGACTGTCCATTGGGGGCTTACTTTTAAAAAATCATTGCCTTGATAATAATCCACTGAAAAAGACCAAGACATTTTATGTTTTTGTGTATGGTAATTTCAAAAATATTTCACTTCACCATTTTTAATTTTGACAAATCTGCATTAATATTAATATTATAACAACAATAGGTGCTTAGTTGGTGTAAACTTGAATTTTGTATTTAATATGCTGGGTGTATTGGAACAGAAGATAATGTAAGACCTACATATACATACTATTTAAAATGTGTGTACTCCTGAAGCACTGTTGCTTCAAAGAGAATTCAATGTTGCTTTGTACCAACCAATTATATAAATAAAAGAAAACTCATTAACTTTATAAGCTGCTCCTCAAAAATATGGGATGAACTGCAGCAAATGATATAGGTTTTAAAATACCCAACACTAAACTCTGAATATTATTGTTTTTGGGCATATTTTTTTTCCTAGTTTATTGAAGCTTTGTTTTGGTGTTCAGGATTATTTATTTTTGTATTTGTTTTTTACTCTACCTGACCTATTATTGGTTATATTGTTTTTTATGTTATTTGTTTGCAATATTTGTTTTTTCTTAAAGATCAAGGTGTAGTTTCTGTATTTTTGTATTTGATGGTTGCATTTTTGGTTAATGTGATCTGTTATAACTATACTGTTAGTTGCTACGTTTAATTGACTATGTTTGCACTTATGATAAATCTACCTTTCATGTGGTGTAAAATATATTAATATATCAAGCTCATCCATGAAAAGTCAGATAGGTCTCTTGATGAATTAGACTTAACATTGTATGTCAACTAACATAAAGATAAAACCCATGATGTAAATGTTTGTAAAATATTGAAGTAATTGAATTTTGTCAACTGTATCAAATAACAATATATATATTACCTAATTTGTTTAATTTTCATTCTCTGATCTTCTAAAAGAAAAATTTCAAGGTGAACATTGAGTATTTGTCAATGTCATGTTAAGGATAAAAGGCACACCTGAAACAAACATATGTATTTCAATATATCATACATCTGAAATACCCCAATATTTAAAAGCTACTAAAAAAAAAATAATAAAATTACGTTTTGGCTACTGTAGCATATAATATATTATGCTACTTTTTAATTTATAGAACATTATTAAAAAAAAAAACATGGGTTACTATTAGTTTGCAGTTTAAAATGGACATTTCAAACATGTAAAAGTATATTTTTGAAACAAACTTATTAAACAAACACATTGCATTAAAACCACATACATTTTATTTGCATTGGATTCTCGGGAAATTTCACATGACATTTTAACTGGTATGAGGATTTTCAAACTTGAACTTTATATAACCCTGTGATTCGTTTTCTCCCTACAGCATTAAGGCGTTTGAATCCAGTTTAATAAAGTTTGTCTGTTAAAATCTTTAACAAGACATTTTCCTACATCAGAGATCACTGATCTCTGATTTATGTCTTGGAATCAACTCATCTGTGCTGCCTAAATCTGTCTTTGGATTTTGGTAGTGCAGTCTCATCTCAGAATTTCATTTCAAAAGGTAAAGTTGTAAATTAAATTGTTTGTTAAAAAGAAAGAAAGTATGATATTTATAGGAGCAGCATGAAAAGCTAGGTTAATACAAATGATTTTTTTTTCCCACAACAAAGTTTGTTTTATTTTCTGACCCATCTTTGATGGGATGGATGATAGTGTTAGAGACATCTACCTTTTTTTATTGAGGGAAATTATTTCCTTTTCATGCTGCTGTTTCAGTTTTTTTAAATTCACTGTGAAGTGAATTTGAACGAAGTTGGGATAAACATCACAAAAAGGGACACTACTGTTGTCCCTGCTTGTTTTATGAATTATTGACAAAGTAATAATGCTAGTCATTTTGTTTTTGGTGCTGAAACATTACAATATAAATTAGAAAACAACGGAGTTCCATGAATAAAATGTTGTGCCTATTTTCAGTAATTGCAACATATTTGTTGCAATATTTTTGGGGTATTGTTATACTCCAACTTATGCAAAAACCCATCATCATTTGAGAAAGAATTAAACTCAAATCTATGAAAGTAAATGTAATTTTGTTGTGTCACTGACACTCCATTCACTTCATTCCAGTCTGAAAGTATAAAAAGGTGTTATGTGTAAACACTTTATTATAAAGTTTATAATATTAATTTTAAAAAATAATCTTTCGTCATTTTTATTCAGGTTTCTTTTTTTATGATGATAATTTTCTTTACATGCACAAGGTAAAATATTTATACCAGGGTTTTTATATCTGCCAGTTGAAGACACGTCTTGCTCAAGAAAGTGAAAATAGTATCAACTTCCATAGTATTTCAAATCAGAAGGCATTAGTGCTGCCAACTTGACAGCAGCAACAATGAATTATGACATGAACACTTACCCTGCCTACAATAACTTTGAGGTAAGCTCAATAGATTAACATTCATTATATTGTTTTGACAGATTATTTTAGCACTAACTATATATATAGAAATAACATTTTAATGTACTTTAAAATTTTTGTCAACAGACTTATGGAGGTTCAGCTGGTGAGCAACAGTATACTGGTAATTTTAATCCTTATATCTAATATAAAATATGTTGCAGAGATCAAGCAGAGATTTAAACTTAAGAAATATTTGCAATTAACATCTAAAGAAAACTGATCCAAGGGTAATTTTTAAGTCTTGACAGTTATTAAAAGTTCACTTGTAATGAGAGTTCGTTTTCTCCTCTAGATTGCAGGATGCTACTCAGATCTATCTAATTCTGATCATTTAGTAGAGGTGGTTTTTTATTTTCAGGTGTAAATCAAGCACCTGGTGCTTATCCATGGAATGCTTCAGCTAGTGCTCCAGTGGCTAGTCAGAGTACTCCTGAACAGCCCTCACAGCCATACGATTATAATTATGGATATGGCAACTATTCAGGGGGCTATCAAGATTACAGTGAAGGCTATGATTACGGTTATGAAGGTAGTTATGATCAATGGAATGCCACTACTAGTAACACAACTATCACTAGCTCAGCAAAACCACCACAGAGGGGTGGTTATACTCCAGCAGAAAGGGGCGGTTATTCCCAATCTGTGGCTCCAAAGAGAGGTGGTTATGCACCAGCTGAAGTTCCTCAAAGAGGTGGCTTTGCGCAGTCTGCTGCTCCAGAAACAGGTGGCTATGCACAGTCAGATTCATCACAAGCTGGGGGATATGCACAACCACCACCTCCACAAAGAGGTGGCTTTACACAACCACCACCTCCGCAAAGAGGAGGTTATATACAACCACCACCTCCGCAAAGAGGAGGTTATACACAGCCACCACCTCCTCAAAGAGGTGGCTTTATACAACCACCACCTTCACAGAGAGGTGGCTATACTCAACCACCACCTTCACTGTTAGGGGGCTATACACAGCCACCTCCTTCACAGATAGGGGGCTATGCACAACCACCTCCCCCTCAAAGAGGTGGCTATGCACAGTCAGGAGCGCCTCAAGAAAGTGATTATACACCAGAGGCCACAGCACAGAGAGGTGGTTATACACAAACACAAGGTTATGAGTACGCTGGTCCAGCTGGAGATAATGGTGCTTATGCTGGAGGCAATGTTCAAGGGGAAGCACCTTTTGGAAGAGGCAGAGGAGTCGCTGGCATGAGAGGTGGGGGTAGAGGCATGGGAGCAGGTAGAGCAACTATAGGAGAGCAAAACTGGGGTAATGATGGAGATAATGCTAAACCATGGAATGTTGGCAGAGGTGGTTTTAATAACATAGGCTACGAGGCAAAAAAGCCATTTGGTTTTGGTAGTGGAAATAGGGGTCGTGGTAGAGGAGGAATGCAGGCTGAAACCGCCCACTCTAATACTGGGTTTGGTCATTTCGCCAACAACAGAGTTCCAATGAATCAAGAGTCATTAAATGCTAGCTCTACAACACAGGCATTAATTTCAAGATGGAAAACATTTACCAGAGGTTTTACAGATTGTGGGAACGCTATCTCCAACTTGGAATGCTCACTCAAAGCTTCAAAGGTAAAATAATATCTATATAAAATAATGTTTGCTGTGCTTGATTTAACATTTATAAAACTTTTTGTACTTTAAAAAATGGTATACTTACTAAAAAAGAAACAACGGAAGTAAAATATAAAGCAATATTTGACAATGAAAACATGCAACTGTTGTTTATTATTAATATTCTAAAATATAGTTCTAAACGGGAATATCTTTTTAAAAAAACCCCACAAATTAACAATCCACAGTTGAATTTGGAATGCCCTTTTTGATGTAAACATTTTTTTAAAAGTTATTGATACAGTTGAATGTAAACCATTTGTTTTTTTTTTTTTCAGATTAACATCCTCCAATTGCACTTTGATTGCAAGTTTCTTTCTAAATGTAACACCTACAGCATCTTTACTGGCGTTCTTCATATCAATAAAATTGTTGACAACAATGTAACTGAATCTCTGTTTATTGCCAGAGGGGTGGGTCTCAGCAAAAAGAGCGCAAAAATGGATTGTTATGAGAAGGCTTATAACTTGTTGCTAAACTGTAATGTAAGTTCTGTAGTTGTTCTATTGTATAACTTTAACTTACTATGTATGGAATATTTTATTAGTGTCCCTAAGGTGGATAAATATAGTTTCTTAGCATTTGTTTTTTTGTCATAGTTTTGTTTTCTTTTACAAGTAATGTTTTTGATATTTTAATTTTAAAAGGGGCAAGTTTAAAAATAATTTCCATTTGTAAGCAAAAATGTTTTTGATAACAAAAAAAAAAAATTAAAACTATTGAGTTTTTTTTACTATATTAATTTTTAACAATTCAGGTTCAAGACATTGTGACTCAAAAGGACTATGGGGAGGCCAAACTTTCACAAGATGTTCAAACTTTGTACAAAGAAAATCCTGAAGAGTTTTCTGAACTTTTAAAAGTAAGTATTCTTACAGTTTCTTCTATTTTCTATAAATATTTAAATTTGTTATCATTTACTCTTTGCCCCTACCATTTTTAAAATGCATTGCCATAAAAATATTCAATTTCTTAGAAAAGCATCGCTTTGATAGAAGTGGTAGTCCCTAAAGCATCAGTAACTCCCATCAATTCTGGACAAGGAGCAAACCGTGGAAGAGGACACACAGGAAATCAAGGCATCAGTCGTGGTGGAACTCAAGCAATGGGTCGTGGGGGAGTAGGAGTAAGTCGTGGGGGTCTTGGAATAGGTCGTGGTGCAGGTCAAGCTATGGGTCGTGGGGGTCCAGGATTAGGTCGTGGTACAGGTCAAGCTATGGGACGTGGAGGTGGTCTAGGTATGGGACGTGGAGGAGGCCTAGGTACTGGACGTGGTAGCAGTCAAAGAGGGGGTCGTGGTGGAAGTCAAGGAGTAGGTCGTGGTGGAAGTCTGGGTACCAGCGGTGCTGTTAATAAAGTAGCAGGTCGTGGTGGAATTCAAGCAGGCAGTCGTGGTGGGTCCATTGCAGGAAAGAAACGTGCTTCTAACACACCATTAAGTGACGTTGATGCTAAACGACCAAGATTTTCATTGGCACCAACGAAAACAGTTGGAATTCTTATGAATCCTGCAGATCCATTAATAGACAAACTAGCCAAGTTGAAAAAGGTAAGAATGGATGTATAGTTGTTTTATTGTATTTATTTTATATGATAAAAAATAAACAACTTTTCTTTGCCAAAAATACACTTCTGATGAAAAAATTAATAAATAAAATTTACTTTATTATATTTTGTTAATAGAAAAAAAATGTTAGTTTTTTTACTTAAATTATGAATTAATCAGATTAGTATTAGAACAAATACTTTTTTGGTAAATTATTTTTGCATAGAAACTGTTTAGGCACAAAAATAAAATACTGTTTAAAAGGCCTCTTTCAGTTTACTTATATGAGAAAAAAAATTAAAAAACAAAATAAAGGCAGTTTAATGGAAAAATGCAAAAAAATAAAAATAAAAAAGAACATACTGTTGCAGTACCAGCAAAGAAATTAGCTGAATATAAGATTAACTAGTTTCATTATAAGAAGCTGGGAAGTAATGTCTTAAGGAGTTGCTTGCTTTAATTCTGAACTCATTTCATTTTAAATGTGACAGTTACTAAAAGAAGAAGGGATTACTAAGCTGCATATAGTTCCTAAAGTTGACCAAATAGCCCATAAGACCGCAATAAATATTAAGAATATTTACAGGTTTCAAGATGTAAGTATCATTTATATTAACATATTCTATTAATTAATTTTGTATAGAAACACACCCTATTATATATTATTAATATATATTCCTTTTAAAAACAAAGTTGAAATTTGTGCTGTTTAAATTAATCTGAACAATGCATGATTTTGTAATAAAAAAACCTAAGTATTAAGGAGTATGGTGATAAGAATATCTTAGCAAGAGTTTGAGAAATGTTAAACCTCACATATTTCAGGTTCCCATTCTTGGGTTTGAGAGCAAAATGCCAGTTTATTGTGAAGTTTACTTCGATGATGTTTTCATGGCTGATGGAATAGCTGATTTCAAAAGAAATGTTGCCATGCAAGATGCTTATAACAATTTGGCCACAGCTCTTTATTCCCAACCACTGGAAGCCATTGTTTCTTGTTCTAGGTAATTTTTGCATGGTTAATTTTAAAAAAAAAAGTTATTCTTTTTAAACAATATACTTAAATGGTAAATTCCTTCTGCTGAATTTATTACTTTTCGTAGTCATCTGTTTTGTTTATTATTATATATAATGTTATTGAATGAATAATGTTATTAAATGTTATATAGCTAATATTAGAATTGAGCCTTGGACTATGGAAAAATAAAACTTGTATTTACTGACACTAATTTTAATTGCATTATGTAAGTGCAAAGTAAGCAGAGTGTTACTGAAGGTATTTACTACAAAAAGATATAGTAAATAAATTTAAAGCTACTGAGCAGATACTTATAAAGTGCACTGAGCTGCAAAATATAAGATTCATCTCATTAGAACTACCAACCTAAGAGGCTTGACTACATTTGTTAAAATTAGCCTCACCGTTAAAATTCTAATAAACATAAAACTAGTGTAATGTTTTGTTAAAAAAAAACTGCTTAATGTTAAATCAGGATATTCTGTTTGCTTGACCCTCTGTTAACCATCTTTTGTTTCCTCTCAGAATTTGGCAACCATTTATGTGCTCAGATCCTGATGTCTGTAATGTAGTTACTAAGTGGCAAGGAGAAGATAACAATTCACTATTGAGTGAGTGAAAATTAGCCAGAAGAGTTCATTTAAGCGTTAAGTGAGAAAGATCATAACTTAAAAAAAAAATTGTGGAACATATTATTTATGTAGTCTTTATAGGAAACAAGTTTTTAAAAATATTTGCCATTTCATAGGTATGGTTAAAATAATGATCCTTAAAACTATGGTGCCTTTATAAAAGTGTTTCAATTATTACAGCCAGCAATCTGACCAACATGAAACAGATGATGCAGTCCATGCCTGATGTAACTATTCCAATAGAAAAAATGGTACTCACTGAACATGAATCAGATAAAGATATCCAAAATATTTTCAAGGCATTAGAGCTTAGTGCCACAAGAAATCTGATGCTTTTAGAATGTGAAATTGTCAGAAACCCTGATTTAAAATTTACGTAAGTAGAAATTTTTACGCTCAGTTTTCAGGTTGAGTTGAAAAGTTAGTGGTAGCTGCAATGTTTTTTTTTAAAGTATTGAGTTAGGATCACGGTGGGTTAATGACATCAGCCATTTTGAGTTTTAAAAGCTTTTTTTTATTGTCTTAAGATTTTAAATTATTAGCACTAAACTGTCAAACTACAAACTTTTAATTATTCCAATGTATGCAATAATATGAGTGTTTTCTTGTGTTCAACTACATGGTGAAAAAGCTATTAAGGTGTTTAAATAAGTCTTTAGAAATTATTAATTAGCTCAGGGATCATACTTGAATGAAATCACATTTTTATTCATCTTTCATGATGTGGGGAGGGGGTTCAGAAAGTGGGGAGGGGGTTCAGAAAATGGGGAGTAGGGAAGATAAAAAGAGTTTTAAAAAGAAATTATGGATGACCCTTTAAGCATTAAATGATCCTTTATGAAAATATATGATTCTAATTTATTGAATTGGCTTTTTTTCAGATGTTCAATCTCTTTGCAAGGCAGACTTTTAGCAAGTAGGACACATGGAACAAAAAATGGTGCTAAGCGTGTTTGTTCTGAAGCTGTAATGAATGAATTAAAGAAAAATAATGATTACATATTTGTAAGTAAAGTTTTGTGATCATGAACAACTGATCTCTATGGTACTAAACATCTTTCAAAAAATAAAATAATGTACAAATTTGTTAATAATTGAATTGATTATACATGGTTCATCGTGTTTTTTTACTAAATGTTAACAAGAATAAGCATTCATTAAGTCACTTGTACTTCAGGTTGCTACTGAGTATATTGGGAAGAAGATCACCAATCAAGAGCTGGTCTTAGAAGCAGCTAAAAAAAAGGCACTTGGAGAACCACCTGCTAAAGTTTTCTTCAAAAAAACAGAACACAAAGGTATACATAAAACATATTCTAAACATCTTCTAAACCGTTACTATAATATATTTACATGGAATCCTCCAAGACAAGGGTAGTTGGAGAATATAACAATTTTAAATTATTTATCTTATTGCAGATCAATTGTTTAATTATTAGTTCAGATAAAACATTACTATTAAAATCAAATATAGAACTCTTTTTTCATCCAGTGTGCAAGAAAGATAACTATAGTTTCTCAGTTATTTTTAAAAAGTTATTCACAAAATATTCTTATCTGTAATGTTGATAGATGGAGAAAATGCTAAACAAGATGTTGCAGATGCAACAAAACCTGACTTGGAAAACAAAACTGACACTGAAGAAATGAAAGCCCTTGTGCCTTGGATGGCTGCAGTAATGTATGATATCATTGATGATTATTATCAAAAGGTAAGTTGTGAATTAAACATAACTTGCAAATAAATCTAATGAACACATTTTAATTTCAATGAGCCAGCCAGCTTATTAGATATTATTTCCTTCTTAAATAAAAAAAAGATAATTATTAAAGTTTCAAACAAATCTTTTAGTTGTAAAAGGTAAAGAATACTCTTTATTTTCAGATAACCCTTGAAGATCTCATGGTTAATGTGACGGACATGACTAAAATACAGAGAGATGTTGTAAATGCATGTGCTTCCAAGATGGGCTTGCGTGTAATTACCAAGCTGAAAACTCACACAGACAGTTCATTACTGAGACGTACAGTCACTGCTCAAGATATGTGCAAAATGTTGCAGTTGCATGGTGGTCAGTCTGGAAGATACAAATTGGCAAGTTCATTTTATCTAACCAACTTTTGATAATTTTAAATTTTCTAGAAAAAAAAAAGAAGTCTCACATAGTTATGTAAGTCAGTATGTTTTGTGAATTTTTAAGATGTGTATTGTGAAAGTAACAGCTGTGATGACTATAGCAGATAAAGTAGTGTTATTGCACTGGACAAGCATAACATTAGGCATATTCTTTAGTCCTAAGCAGAAGCCTGGATTTTACTTGGACTTTGAATCTTTGGGTTAACTATTCTGTTTATTTCTTTTGTTGTTCCAGTTTTAACATTGCAAATTTTTTTCATTAGGTGACGTGCAAAAATAAATTATCAGAGGTGGAAAAAGAAAAATTTCGAGCTGAATGCCTGCAACAACACCAGAAACTGGTGGACGCTCGAACAAATGATGACCCTGATGCTCAGCCTACAGAGCCTACACCAGCCCCAATCAAAAGCACAGTAAGACCAGCTGCTAAAACTGCTCCAGCCACTAAAACAGGAACAGCACCTAAAATAAGGCCAGGCTCAACATATCGCCCTTTTCGTCCACAATCCAGACCAGCTTTTAGAGCTCCTCATCACATGCAAGCATTTAATCGTCCTATGCCTCTGATGAGTTCCCATCTTCATTATGGACCACCAAGAATGCCTAGATTTCCATTTCCTAGATTTTAAACTTGTTTTTTTAAAACGTGGAAGGTGGGGAGGTGTCATGGTTTCATTTTAATGATAGACATTTTACTTACACGAGTGTTAATTGTATCAGTATTGAGTATCAGAACAAAACTATTTTGTATACTATAAAATATAATGAAATGTTATGATGTTAGTCTGCTGTTTTATTGAGTGGGCACTGAGATTTTAAATGAAATTACAACACAAATTTTGCTCTTTCATATATTTATTTGTTTTTTAAGTGACATTTTTAAAAATGTTTCTTTAATGTGTCTATCAATGCATGAAATTCTTTGAAATTATGTAACTATTTTTAGTGGTACAAATAATGAGACTGTGTTCACAAAATAAGGGCTAAATATTGTTACTTTTAGTGTTCACCTGTAATTGTTTTAAAAAATGAAATTTTGCTTTTTTTTTTTAACGCTTACCTTCATACAAGTCATTACACTTGTTGTTTCCATAAGAAAAATAAAGTTGTCATAAAGTTTATTCTATCATGTGTGTGTTTTAAATGGTGTGTATGAAATTTTCTTCTATTTTCCCAGCCCTTTATTTAACAAGTAATATGCGATTTAAAAAAAATATTAAAATGATGTTAGCAATATCTAGAACTTCTCTGGGTTGTGGCATAGATTTAGCTTAGTTGTAGAACAGGAGTTAGTGAGGTATTGAAAGAAATAACATACCCTTCTAATCTGGAGTGGACAACTATAGAAATTAACAACCCCCTTGGTCTTACACTTCTAAATTTAATCAGATGAAGTCTATCTTAACTGGTATTAACTGTGGCTTGAACTAATGGTAGGAGTCATAGTAGCCTATTGATTTAGAGTCAAGTTAAAAAAAAAACTCAATCATTTTGTAGTCATGCAAGATGTATGTGCAGTTCTTTCAATATGTTCATTGAACATTGCTAGAATTTATTTCAACCTTGCACAAGATGCAGATAATATAATGTAACCAAAATAATGTATTGTTCTAATACTTGCTAGTTGTGAAATACATCATATCCATCATGGTCTAAGTCTAAATACTAGGTAGTTGTTAAATACATAATATCCATCATGTTGTGAACGTATGGTACTTATTGTAAAGTATAACATGTCACATGATCTGATAGGTATTGTAAAGTATAACATGTCACATGATCTGGTAGGTATTGTAAAGTATAACATGTCACATGATCTGATAGGTATTGTGAAGTATAACATGTCACATGATCTGGTACTTATTGTAAAGTATAACATGTCACATGATCTGGTAGGTTTTGTAAAGTATAACATGTCACATGATCTGATAGGTATTGTAAAGTATAACATGTCACATGATCTGGTAGGTATTGTAAAGTATAACATGTCACATGATCTGGTAGGTATTGTAAAGTATAACATGTCACATGATCTGATAGGTATTGTAAAGTATAACATGTCACATGATCTGGTAGGTATAGTAAAGTATAACATGTCACATGATCTGGTAGGTATTGTAAAGTATAACATGTCACATGATCTGATAGGTATTGTAAAGTATAACATGTCACATGATCTGATAGGTATTGTAAAGCATAACATGTCACATGATCTGGTAGGTATTGTAAAGTATAACATGTCACATGATCTGGTAGGTATTGTAAAGTATAACATGTCACATGATCTGGTAGGTATTGTAAAGTATAACATGTCACATGATCTGGTAGGTATTGTAAAGTATAACATGTCACATGATCTGGTAGGTATTGTAAAGTATAACATGTCACATGATCTGGTAGGTATTGTAAAGTATAACATGTCACATGATCTGGTAGGTATTGTAAAGTATAACATGTCACATGATCTGGTAGGTATTGTAAAGTATAACATGTTACATGATCTGGTAGGTATTGTAAAGTATAACATGTCACATGATCTGGTAGGTATAGTAAAGTATAACATGTCACATGATCTGGTAGGTATTGTAAAGTATAACATGTCACATGATCTGGTAGGTATAGTAAAGTATAACATGTCACATGATCTGGTAGGTATTGTAAAGTATAACATGTCACATGATCTGATAGGTATTGTAAAGTATAACATGTCACATGATCTGGTAGGTATTGTAAAGTATAACATGTCACATGATCTGGTAGGTATTGTAAAGTATAACATGTTACATGATCTGGTAGGTATTGTAAAGTATAACATGTCACATGATCTGGTAGGTATAGTAAAGTATAACATGTCACATGATCTGGTAGGTATTGTAAAGTATAACATGTCACATGATCTGGTAGGTATAGTAAAGTATAACATGTCACATGATCTGGTAGGTATTGTAAAGTATAACATGTCACATGATCTGATAGGTATTGTAAAGTATAACATGTCACATGATCTGGTAGGTATTGTAAAGTATAACATGTCACATGATCTGATAGGTATTGTAAAGCATAACATGTCACATGATCTGGTAGGTATTGTAAAGTATAACATGTCACATGATCTGGTAGGTATTGTAAAGTATAACATGTCACATGATCTGATAGGTATTGTAAAGTATAACTTATCTCACATGACCTTAATATTTGGTAGATATTGTAAAGTACAACATATCTTGCAAGATCTGATTCGCTAAGCACCATGTTTTACACTGAAAAGATAATCATCTAATAATTTCCACTTATTAGTCAAAACCAATTTACCCTTCCTACCCCCTTTCTCGCAATCCATGAAATTAGCAATTATGATGTTATGTTTTATATGGTGTAACTAGGATGAGGTTGATTTTAGGTCTTTTTATTTTATGCCACAGCATAGAGATAATTACCTTTATGTGCTAACGTTCAATCTTTCTAATTTAATATGGTCATATTTAATAAACTAGTGTATTGTAGGCATCGAAACTGAAGCGCTCCCCCCCCTCCTCCACATTCAGATTTGTCTAGTGGTATTCGTTACACTTATAAAAAAATATATTAGAAAACCTATCAAAAACCTACCTGAAAAAACTATCAAAATCCTACCAGAAAAAAAGCTTAGCATAAAAAAAACCTACCGAAAACCTGTCAGATTAACCTATCAAAAAGCTATCAGATAAATCTATCAAAAAACCTACCAGAAAACCTATCGCGTATACTAAAACTGGACACCCACCCTTTGACGTTGCAGGACTGCACATTTTACCTGGAGGAAGTGGTCAACGGGGAGGTCGAGAGGATGCAGCTGTTTGTTGTCCGGGAGGGGGAGGAGGGTATCATTCTCATCCAGCCTCACAACTTTACTGAGGTCACCAGCTATAGGTATTTGGTGACACCACAACTGAACTGGTGTCACCATCTATAGGTATTTGGTGACACCACAACTTTAGTGGTGTCTCCCACTATAGGTATTTGGTGACACCACAACTTTAGTGGTGTCACCATCTATAGGTATTTGGTGCCACCACAACTTTAGTGGTGTCTCCCACTATAGGTATTTGGTGACACCACAACTTTAGTGGTGTCACCATCTATAGGTATTTGGTGCCACCACAACTTTACTGATGTCACCATCTTTAGGTATTTGGTGACACCACAACTTTAGTGGTGTCACCATCTATAGGTATTTGGTGCCACCACAACTTTACTGATGTCACCATCCTTAGGTATTTGGTGTCATCACAACTTTACTGATATCATTATCTATAGGTATTTGGTGACACCACAACTCAACTGATGTCACCATCTATAGGTATTTGGTAACACCACAACTTTAGTAGTGTCACCAAATATAGGTAATTGGTTACCCCATTCCCCCCCCCCCCCACTAAACTGATGTCACCAACTAGAGTTATTTGGTAATCCCACAAGTTCTCGGATGTCACCAAATTTAATAATGTAAAATAAACAAGCTCACATTAAATTTTACCACACCAGAAGAGTAGGACATAAAATAAACAAAAGTTGTGTTTGTGGGAATGCACGCCACTGGTCTCTTTAAGCCTTGGCTGTTCATAGGACTCTGTTTTTTTGTTTTTTTTTGACATGCCGAATGCGCAGCAACCGAGACTTTCGCTAACCGGGGTCAGGCACTCATTAGAACTAAGCTGACTCAAAGAGGTCTTAAGGAATCAAGCATGGATGTTGTGGTCAGCACTATACTCAGCCGACTTTACTTTCCCTAATGGGAGTCAGGCACACATCAGTTGTGAGCACTCAGGGACGTCCTGCAGACTCATGTCCCGAACGGGATCTGAACTCGAGACCTTCGAGTTCGCAATTGAATGCTCTCCTACCCGACCGCTCGGTCCCCTGCTGGTGTTTGAAGTGAAATATCTGGGTCATCCCCAGCCTAATACCCAGCGTTTCCATGGCATGGTTACAGGCCCGGTCAGTTTGACGTCAGCGAGCTGGACAACATCCCGCGAGAGCAGTTCTTGACGAGAGAGGAGTGCGAGATTTCCTTCATGCGTACCGAGAGCAACGTCTACGTGGGGACGTTTCCCGACTGTCACCGCTACGTAGGAGGCGTGAGTACCTGGGGTAGGGGTGAGGGGGTAGGGGGTGGGGGGTCGTCCACACTGTAAGAAGGATTGCGGGTTAGTACTTTGATATGTTTGTCTAGGTAAGGGGGATGTTATAAAGTGTGAAATCATCCTTTGTGATCAACTTTTGAAACTGAATTTTAGAAATTGTTTCGCGCTATTGAAAGACTTAAAAAAATGGTAATAAACATAGATCCATGCGTAGATACTGACTGCTATTTTATTTAGGTCAAACACGGACTGCACTTTTATTTAGTAGGTCAAACACTAAGTTCACTTTTATTTAGGTCAAACACGGACTTCACTTTTATTTAGGTCAATCACTGACTTCACTTTTATTTTGGTAAAACACGGACTTCACTTTTATTTAGGTCAATCACTGACTTCACTTTTATTTAGGTCAAACACTGACTTCACTTTTATTTACGTCAAACACTGACTTCACTTTTATTTACGTCAAATACTGACTTCACTTTTATTTCTGTAAAATACGGACCGCTTGTTTGTGTAGAACCAAAAAATACTGTGTTAAAAAATAGACTGATTTTTACTTTTGTAGCGCAGCCTCTACTAAAGCAGCTTTAACTAATGCAACCTCAAATAATGCGACCTCAATTAATATGGTCTCAACTAATGCGGCCTGTATTAATACAGACCTCCTAGATATAAGCTACTCACTCCATGATTCCTAGCTAGCTGCGGCTATGAGTTTCAAATTATGTTTTCTATACGTTGAAGTCATGAGTTTCAAATTATGTTTTCTATATGTTGAAGTCATTAGTTTCAAATTATGTTTTCTATATGTTGAAGTCATGAGTTTCAAATTATGTTTTCTATACGTTGAAGTCATGAGTTTCAAATTATGTTTTCTATACGTTGAAGTCATGAGTTTCAAATTATGTTTTCTATACGTTGAAGTCATGAGTTTCAAATTATGTTTTCTATACGTTGAAGTCACGAGTTTCAAATTGTTTTCTATACATTGAAGTAATGAGTTTCAAATTATGTTTTCTATATGTTGAAGTCATGAGTTTTAAATTATGTTTTCTATACGTTGAAGCCATGAGTTTCAAATTATGTTGTCTATACGTTGAAGTCCCCAGTGAAATACGCCTTCACACTGTCGTGTCATACCATCGACGCCATCGTCTACTGGACATCGTCACGAGAAGAAAGTCATCGTCTGCCCTACGACCATCGTTTGATTCAATGGTAAGTTGGGGGTGTGTCGGGAGATATGGAGGGGGGGGGGAGGAGTCAAATTGGGGGGGGGGGGTCATATAAATTGTGGACAGTAAAATGGGGGAGGGGGGGGGCAGAAAAGCTGGAAAAGGGGGTGGGGAGGGGGAGTCATATAAATTGGGGACAGTAAAATGGGGGGGGGGGACAGAAAAGTTGGAAAAGGAGGTGGGGAGGGGGTGTCATATAAATTGGGGACAGTAAAATGGGGGAGGGGGGGGACAGAACATTGTGAAAATGGAGAGGGGGTGAGTCAAGATAATGGGGGAAATTAAAGAATATTGGTAAGTTGGAACTATGTCGGGAAAGATGTCAGGAAAAGTGGGGGAGAGGGGAACGGGTGGGTGGTCGGGGATATGGGTTAAAGAAATTTGGGGGGTAGGGGAGGGATTTGAGGGTGGGGAAATTGGAGATTATGGGAATAAATTCTGGTATTTTGGGGTACGATTAATGAAATTGATGGGGGGGGGGGGGGGGGGGGAGGAGGGGGGTGAGAATCATTATTTTTTCTCCGATTCACACCCTCAATTTATTCCTTCCAGTTTTACCTACCCTGAATACATGGCCAAGCTATTTGTGAACTTCAAGCCTCCGTGTGACTATCGTTGTACAGTTCAGTGATTGAGATAATAAAATGTTGGAGTATTGTATAGAGTTCAGTGACTGAGATAATAAAATGTTGGATGAATGAAAGGATGAAAGGATGGCAGTATGGAAGGATGGGAGGATGAGAGGATGGAAGGATGGATGAAAAAAATATGAGGATGGATAAAAGGATGGGAGGATGGATGGGAAGATGGGAGGATGGAAGGGTGGGAGGATGGGAGGATGGGAGGATGAGAGGATGGAAGGATGGATGAAAAAATATGAGGATTGATAAAAGGATGGGAGGATGGCATGAAATGTCACAAACACGCCAATGCCTTCTACCTATTCTGTTTGAATGTGTTTGTAAACTTGTTTGTCTGCACCGTTGGAAACAGAAAATGCTCAAAATAACCAGAAGTGATAGTTTTAGCCAAAACTGTCCAAGATATGCCTCAAACACAATCAGCGAGACAACTTATTGCTGGAAAAAAAAACGGCATTGTTTTCAATTCAAACACGATACATTTACAGATGCTAGTATTTTTTTTTTTCGCTATGCTATGGTAAACTTAAACTAACAATATATTCTGACTGATATGAATACACTCAAGTGCTTTAAAAGATTTGAAACATTGAGAGCTTGGAAGAATGTTTTGTTAAGTAAAACGTACCATTGCTTTTGAAACTGATGTACTACAATGCAAGTTTTCCATTTAATCATTTTAACAACTGTTACCCATTTAGACATGATGGTCAGCAGATATAGAAAAGCTTGCCTGTTTTGGTGACCATGGTCAGCTTTTAGCCCAGCCACATCTATATTTCCCTAAAGTGAGTCAAGAATCCATTACAGCTGAGTGGACTCAGCAGAGACGTAGCGATGGGGGGGGGGGGGGGGCAGGGGGGACATATGTCCCCGGGCGCCGACCTTACGGGGCGCCAAAATGGGTTGTAAAAACAAATTAAAATAAATGTCATTTTAGCTGCCTTTTTTCAGTTTCACGAGGGGGGGGGGGGGGGGAGGGGTGCAAATAGAAACTTTGAGGGGGGCGGGTGCAAATCGAAAAGTTGAGGGGGGAGGGGTGCAAATTGAAAATTTGCTCCCAAGGGGGGCGCCAAATTGAAAGTTTGTCCCCGGTGCCGGGAAGGGTCGCTCAGTGACGTCCTACAGACTCTAGTCAGGGATTGTAACTCGAGACTTTTGTGTTAGCAGTTGCGTCTCCTAAAAAACTTTGAGTTGATTTAATTTTATGGTGGGACATCATACGGTTTCATGCGTTAAGAGACTACCGGCTGAATAAAACATCACATCACTGAAATCATAATTTCCCCTTGTTGTATGACACATATAACTGATCAGTTTTTTATCTAATCCTAGTACTGTGTCATATTTATTGACATTTAGAAACACCAGAAATCTGAGATTATAGAGAAAGAAATTATACATGAACCCATTTTTAAAAAATTAGTTTGAAAAATCTTCCTTTCCTGAAATATTGCTGTATCTGTTCGAGATATTGGACTTAAGGTGTCAGTTTTGGAATCTACAAAATATTTTACCCACAAAGTGTATCAATACATTTTAAAATATGCTTTATACCCTTGAAGTCCCTAAAGGGTTAACGACTGCTATGCAAGTTTATGCCTTTAAAGGGTTAATTCCTTCTGTATATTTTTATTTATGTTCATGAAAGGGTTAACGCCTGCTGTCGTCCTACACAAGTTAAGCCATCACGACAACACTGTACCACAAATGTTTTTTTACTCTAGCCAGATTTCGTTGCTTCACATTTCCAAAATGTTCAAACTCGTCTTGGTTTTATCTCTTTGTTACATCGCTGCAGGTCAGTAGCATGAGAATAACTGTTGGTTCTAAATCTTATCATGCTGTTACAGCATTCAGATTTGTGCTTCTACAAATTTCAATTCAGCTTAAATGACGTCACGCTTTTTTGACGATTTTACATCCCCCTCCCCTCCGTCACACGTCGTCACAAAAAGCCAGACCCCCCCCCCCCACACACACATAAAATGACGTCACACATCAGCCTACAACCCCCTCAAAATTGCTGTTGAATTTTTCTTAAAAAAATGATATTTTCCCCAAAAAACTTGTCAGAATTCGTCAACATAGAGTATTTTAATCAATTTCTATTACAATTTATTAAAAGTTTTCTAAAACGGAAAATAACGTCTAAAACTCGTTTTCTAACATTGCTTTTTTATAATACAAGAAAGTGACGTCACATCATCTGACCCCCCTCCCTCACATCACACACCGTCACAAAATTACGGAGTGTGACTTCAATTATGGACGACCCCTAAAATAATACATACAAATTTAAATATACATTTTTCTAAACTAAAGAGGCTTCCTAAAATTCGTAATAAGATTTTGAAGATAACTAATTTTCTTAATCAAATTTCAGTTGATTAATTTTTATTAATTAATATAAATTATAATTTCAGCTCAAATAAAAAAAAATGTGTTTTACTCTAAGAAATAACACTGTAGTGATCTCTTCTAAATTTTCTCGTAAATTCTTATATTGGCCCTAATAGTAGTGATGGGATTCCGCTTCCAGTGCAATCGGGGTATAGAAATATTGAAGTAAAAGTTTGTGACCAATCCGCTGTTGTTTTTTTTTTTAACACATAGAGAAGAACATTTTGTAGAAAATGCTTTATGAGAGCATGATATATAATTAAATATAAACGGTTATAAGCTTTTGAGAAACCGGAAGTATAGTATGTAGCACTTCCGGTTACCGGAATTCGTTCAAAGTTGATAGAAATCTACAAATTTTATAAAATATTTAAATATGATATATAAAATTGAAACTGTATTCCAGTTAACCGGATTGAAGTGAAACGTCAAAATTTCTCAAAATCGCGATTTAGATTTTTGTACACGATTACAATTCTTCCTTTACACTTTAATCGGATTATATCTTTATAAGAAGCCAGATTTACATCTTTACATCAGCCGCATGGAATTTATAAATCTTTATTTGTCGAGACCTTCTAAATAATAAAAGAAATGTTTCTAACATAATTGAAAATGTAATTATGTTAAGTTGACATATAATTAAGCACACAAGTCAGAAATAGTTTTAGAAAATTTAACATTACGCCGAAGAAATGTGATTATATTCGAGGTGTTTTCATCCATTTATATACATGAGAATAGAATATTAATACGTATTTTACTTCATAAATATTTAAAAAAATTAAAGTTGATTTTTAAGGAAGAATTTGTTCGTGTTTATATAATCATTTTTAGGTGGAGAATTCGTTATTGTTACTTTTAACAATAGCTCCAGTGATAACTTTTGTGTACTGGCTCAATTAAGGTATTAATTTTTTACTATGAAACAGGTGTGTTGTTCCAAGATCTTTGATTTGAACAATTGGCCACGGATTCGAACTCGAGACTTTCGAAATAGCAGCCTAGCGCTCTACCGCTTAGGCCACTTCGTCCCATTGTGTGCTCATGTCCTCTGGTTAATGATTTTACCTATCCTTCAAAGATTCTGTCTGAATCTAGCTGAATAGGCCTATCTACCCAACTGATGTGTGTTGGTTGAATGATCTTCATCTACCCCCCCCCCCTGTGTTATAGAATGCGGCCACATTAAACGAAGTGGCGCCCACATCAAACGAAGTGGCGCCCACATTAGACGAAGTGACGGCTGTGATCTTCTCAAGACATGTGCAAGTCCTGTAGAGAATATCGGACCAACCAATGTCGACCAGCTCAATGATAAAGCAGCCTACAACCAGTTTTGTCAGTAAGTGACTCATTTAAATTTTTTTTCCATTTAAATGGTTAATCTCAAATTTTATTTTCATTGTTGAGACTTGGTTTAGGTATTATTAGCCATAAACATATTTTTGTAGGTTTAAACAAAACTTAAAGCAAAGTGTCAAAACAATGATATTAGTTTAGTAAAAAAAAAGTAAGGTCCCTTTTCCCAACCTGGTGGTCTATGAGGCAAGTGAAATAGAGTTCACCTGTTTCTGTGACCTCGGCATATGAAGAGATAGTGTGGTCAGCACTATGACCAGCCGCCTTCACTTTCCCTAACGTGAGTTAGGTACCCATCAGAGTTGGGTGGACTCAGCAACCGTCTACTGGATTGAACACGAATTCGAACTCGAGACTTACGGGTTAGCAGTCTAGCTCTCTATCTCTAGCCACTCCGTACCATAGTTTGAAATAATTTGTTTAGTATGGTACATAATTCATACTTCAGTCATAACGTTTCTTTGATGTAGTGGCTTTCGATTTGTACCCCCCCTCAAGTTTTCGATTTGCACCCCCCTCAAACTTTCGATTTGCACCCCCCTCAAACTTTCGATTTGTACCCCCCCCCCTCAAGTTTTCGATTTGCACCCCCCCCTCAAACTTTCGATTTGCACCCCCTCAAGTTTTTCTCTATATTTTTTTTCTATTTTTTGCCTTGGTGTCACCCCCCTAAATGGTGTCACCCCGGTGCGGTCCGCACCCCCCGCACCCCCCCCCCCCTCGCTACGCCTCTGTATACAGCCGCATGCACTCTCCAAGATTCAAGCCAATTAAATGCTCAATGGAAAAGAGAAGTACTAATAAAAAGACAAAGATAATGTATTAGTAGTGGGAATAATTGTTCAGCCTGATTAATAACGGAGATCCAAATATATTTTGTTTAAAGATAGTAGCAACTTATATGGTCCATAGCTAAAACATTGGATTATATGTCTAATTATTTTTAGCAAAGACTAAATTAATTTAAACAATAAAATATTGATCGTTCTAGTAATAGAACAACAGTTCTAAGTAAATTGTAATATACTATATGATTAAAAAAAAAATTTGGGAGCCCCAAAGGTTAAGATGATAATGAACCTAAGATGACGACGTCGATGATTATAAATATGTAATGATGATGATTATGATGATAATTATAATAATGATGATGTTATTTATGATAATGATAATGATGATGATAATGATGTTATTAATGATAATGATAATGATGATGATAATGATGATGACTAT